TATTTTGTCTGAAAAAATGAGACTTGTTTGATATTTTTGTCTGACTGGCATTTCCTGATAATTATACAACAAGTTTATAGGTTACAAAATAGTGTGAGTACATTGGTCCGATAGTTAAACGTTCGCCTACAATACCGAAGGTCCCGGGTTCGAATCCTGCGGAGTGCAGGAGTCGTGGGTGCGCACTGCTAAGGAGTCCCATACCAAGACGAAACGGCCGTCCAGTGCTTCCAGGTTCCTAATGGTGGTCTAACGTTGATCGATTCACGGTTTCAAAAATGTGTAAATTTTAGAATTGTTTAGTAACCTAAATCACTTGTTGTTTTTATTCCAATGGATGTGCATGCTCTCATTATTCTTTAGTGAACAAACATGATCTGAATTTCTAGTGAATTATTACTGTAATATGTATTATTTGATTTGATCATTATCGATTATAATTACATCTACTATTATTATCAGATTAGTTATATAAATTAAACTTCCATTGTCAAGGGCAATTTTACATTGGTGTTCAGGAGAACCAAGGAGACTGGTCACGTGTTAGCATTTCGACATGAACAGTTCGCCTCAATCCCGTGGTGCAAACTACACAGGCACCTGATATACCCTGATGGACCAATGATTATTTTTATTTTTCAGAAAACCGTCCAAATGTGTAAATGAATCTTTTAATAGGGGCTTGAATAGGCGGTACCATAGTAATTAGTTATCAATCAACCGGAGTCTAAGACATGACCATTCTCGGTAATGCATAAGTTATTAATTAAATGATTGGCTTGTTGGATTTCCATTTCTAAGCTAGTTAAACTAAACACATACTGTGATCGGTATTTTCCATCTTACTTGTAAGTGGGCTGTAGTCCATTCAGTTCCAATAGCAATAAAAAATGTTATTAAAAAATCTTTTATGGTTTGGATTGATCTTTTTTTTTATTCAAATAGTTTCAATTGTGAATAATTTTGCATCTTAAAATACCAGTTTGACTGAATTCTTTACTAGTTGAATAAAATTCAACTTTTAGTCAGTAATAATTTGTTTGATACATTTTCTCCTGATATCATTTTATTTTTGTTTCGTTCCTACTAATGCGAACTGATTATAGAAATGTTCAACTTCATAATTTTAGTGCAGTCATTCTGTTGACATTTTAGTTGGAACTTTCTCTTCATGTAATCACTTACATAGATCATAAAGAAACATGTAAACTATCCCTATGAAATTTAACTTCTTATTGAGCAATGAAAAATTGCTTCTCTCAAACTTCACTTGTATTTAGAGTAAAATCTGTTTTTTAAAGATATTTTGAATTCCAGTAAGTCTACTACATATTTACAGGTGCTACTCCATTTTAGAGGTTGTAACTTCTATGTCTTATTCACAATGTTTGTATCTTTTGGCCTATTTGGTTGGGTCAGTGGATTTTTATTTAACAACAATTAATTCCTGTTCATTGTTTAGAATTTCATGCCTAATTATCAGAACAAAAGAATTTTACAGGTGTTTCTCTAAACAAATCAATGCATCAATGCTATTATTGTATTTGAATATTTGCTAATACTTGAGAATATAAATACAATATAGTATGAAATGTCATAATGAATTATCAAATATATTCAAACATGTCTACTTATCTATATCGTTTGGTATGCTTGAGTTCTTTTTTTTTATATTCATAGTCAGTAGTTTTATGCAATATAAATCCATGAACCTTTATATTTATTCGTTCAGTCTCTGAAGCCTGTAACTTGTTTGCCTGATAAGGTCACTCTAATATCAGGCTTGTATGAAAAGTTTAATCTGAACGACCCTGAAAACTGATTTCTGGGTCATTTCACTAATTCATTCCATCAGTGTTCATTTAGAATAGGTGATTGATATGTCATCCTGTAACCTACTTGTCTATTTACGGTTTATCGTAGACAACTCTGTGTACGTTCCAGGTCATTGCTTGTTTTATTGGACAAGATAGATTTTCTTACTGTTCATTGATAATTTAAAAAAAAAGTGACATTGAATGCTAATCATTTGAAGTTGTTCCGCTTTTTTAATTTTCCAAAGGAGGAGGACTTTGATGAATAATGATCACTTAGTATAGTTTGTTAGCTAAAACATATATGAACTCCCCGCAAATCACAACAAAGGCGTACTTATAACTATTGAAATAATCTTTCCTAATCCGAACATCAGACTAAATGTATTTCAACTGTCTTGTCCTATTTTGTAATGATTATAAACATGGTCATTAAACAATAGTTCATGATTGTTTCCTACTTCGATTGCATGAATTGAACTTATCGAATAACACGTGCATATAATAATATCCTTAAGTTTATCTTAAAAACGAACTGGTCAATTGGAAAGCAAATGTCAAATCGTACAATTCTTAAAGAAAATGTAAGGCATTCTGTGATGAACAGAATAAACAACTCTGCAAAAAGAAGTTCTGTATGATAGTTTTTTATAGTTTGTTTATTGCTACGGAGATAAACAGATTCATAAATTTTCTTATTATTGACTGACTAACTGACTTATTGTTGCATTAGTTTTATTTTGATAACAGTGTGGATTGAAGGTTGGTCAGAAGATGTATATGAGGTTAATCAAATCCGATGACCAATAACCCATTGCTTGTTGAAAAATGTATTATTGCAGTCTATTATAGCACGTGAGGAATCTCAGTCATCGTCTCTTTAACTATTCCTTTCTCAGTGATTTGTTGTGAATACACTTTATCACACAAATTTTCTATCGCTGCATGAGTTGCGTCTGTGTATAACAAAACTTTTATTCACTGATTTGTTAAGAGCAAATAAATCTAGATATCGATTACAAATAGTCCGTGCTTTATCAATCTCCTTAGTCTTTTAGTTCTGACTCGATAATAGTTTTAAAATGCAACTATTTGGCTGCCACTATATATAATAATAATAATAATAATAACGATAGTAGTATTCATAATCATGGCTTAATTCAAGATCACATGTTTAATACAATGTGGAATATTTCAACAAGTTGAAATGTCTTGTTGTAATTAGGTGAAAACCGTTTTTGAGAATTAACTGATAAAGCTTTAACCTCAGGTTTTTTTCTGCCAGCCATTTGCAACGTAGAACGTGGTATGCACGTATATCAATTAGACTTGCCAAACCCCATCAGCACAGTGAGATGAAATAGTACAGCCTAATCTCAAAGTAATATAGATATTAATAGTTTTAGTGGTAATGGAAAAGGCTAGAAATCGAAGATAAGATTCGAGAAAGTGTAAATCAGTAAAGAAAGGAAATTTTTTACTGAATTCAGAAACTTAGGATTTGCGGGAGAGCGAGAAGTGGGATACACTTGCGTCATTGCAAACAATTTCGAGACCTGTCATTCAAAGTCTCTAATCGCTAGTTACGATTATCACACTGAACTTAACCAGGTATTCAGCATCTATTAACATGGTTCAGTCCACTTGTCAATGACTTCATGGACTGATACCAAGTTTTTGTTGGACCGCCCATAGCTTTCTTTCAGCTCATTCTTACACTAGACTGCATCGTCCGTCTGGATAGGTGGTTGCTGGTCATTCGTAACATCTGCCCCAACCACTGTAGTTTTTTTCTGTAAATTTCACACACAACGTGTTTACTGACTCAACAATAAATTCTCTTAGTACAGTGATAAGTTCACTGATCAGCATCAAAGTGTAATCTCATATTAGTTGACCGAAAATGTCTAGTTCTTTCAAAGTGATTCTCTATAGTGAACATTTTTATTTCTATTCTATTGGTGTTCATTTTCAACTGGCTTATTTTACTTGTTCACTATGCTGGAAGTATGTAAATCTGTCAGTTACACTCCTAGATCATTTGATATTGAACTCATAATTTCAGTTTTCTGTCGACCTATTTCTATGGTTTGCGCATCTTATTCTGTTAATTTTTTCTACATTCAACAATGTTGATTAGACATCAGTCATCAATAACTCTGAGTTTGATTTCAAAGTCTAAGACATTTACAAATTATCGTGTCTTTGACTTTAAAACGCAATCATTTCACAGCACTGGTGGTTACCCTGAATTCTATAATTGGTAATGCGCTTCGTCAAAGTAAATTTTGGTCGGCTGATGCTTTATTAGGGTTATCGAGTCTCCACATCATACAATTTTCTATCATTAGAAACATTATCTTTCCGTTATTCATGCCAAATTTCTATCATCATAATGATTTTGAAATAATGGTTTTCTTCATCATAATGAATTTCTTCTTTTTTTTTGTATACTGAGTACTTTTTTCAGTGTTCTAATGTTGGTGATGTAGAAGCATAGGATGAATCCTTAGTAGTGGATAATTAAATATGCATCAAGTTTTACAACGCTATCTCCCGCACGACCACCAACACCTATTTGTCAGTGTTTATTCAATTTGACAATCCGTTCAATATCCAAGTGTCACATCTGCTTATCTTCTGTTTATTGTTTTTAAAGGTTAAATGAAAAACTATTTATGCGATTTTTTTACCACACTGTTCAAACTAACATTACGTTTTTCTAATCAAATTTTTGACATTGATTGTTAAACACTCCATGTAAACAATGTAAACGAAATATCACTCTGAGAACTTGAGAAATTCCTTTTTCACCACCCATTAAAGGATTATCTGATTATTATGAAAACACGGAAAATCCATCGCTGGTTGTAAAATCACTACAAACCTGTAACCACTCATACGCCACTTTTTTCAATCTTGTTCGATTTCAATTCAAATCGGATGTATCTAAACAGACAGGCTTAGATAGTATTGAGAATCCGTAGCTTATCTTAGTCAGGTTACAATCCACATTACATAATTAATCCGTAAATTAAAACTGATTGTATCAAAACCACCCTGATACTACTTTTTCTGTCTATATATATAAACCATTACACTTTTATAATATAATATAAAAATCCAATTAGATCTTTCTCGTCGTATTGCTCACTACTTATCCCTTTTGTTATTGCTTTTGGTCAGTGATGCGACGAGGTTGTCCAAACGATTGCAGTAATCGCGGTGTATGTGATGGTGGTGTTTGCGACTGTGTGAATGGATTTAAAGGTCCAGATTGTTCAATCGGTAAGTCTATTTGTTACTTAGTTAGAAATAAAATATGGTTTTAAACGAAAATCATTTTTCTATGCTCGATGAAAATTGTTTGAGGTTTGTTTTTTTCCATTCCAACCTATTTTCCAGACTTTCATGATTGGTTTTTTTTATCCTTAATGAGGTGTAGAATAAAAGAATTTAAATTATAGTCTATTTTGCTCATGTTTATCTATAAATATAAGAATTGCCTTGTACATACGCTGCTGTTCTTGTGAATATAATTTTTTCCTTACCCACTTTGTTCGATAGGCTAGGTAACAAAATAAACTAGGTACCGTGTTCATCCCATCGATCTGTATTTGGTTTTCTTTTATTTCAGATTTATTTATTTATTTTAACCTTAGAATGTTGAGCTACTGAATAGTTTTTATAAGTAGTTGTGTATGGTTGTTTTCAAGGTAATTAGGGACGACGCCACTAAACCAACATGATTAAAATTTTTCTTATTAAAATCTCTATTATTTTTAGATAACTCGTGTTACCCACTGATCCTACTAAATAAACAGGTATATAGCTATCTTGCTATTTCTTAAATGCTCTGTGGTTTTAATGAAAATTTAGCTAGTTATCCGCCTGGAATTTTTCAAGGGTATCTGTCGGTCCCAAGCCCGGATAAAGAAGGAGGGTTGGGCATCAGTCTAGCGACTCCATCCCGTAGAAAATCTACTTTCCAGGAAACGCTCACCAGAACAAATAATTTAGACCATTTGAACTCTGCTCTGGGAGTTGGAAAGTTTTATACTGGTTGGCGGCCTGTGCTCTTTCGAGGGTAAGAGGTCTAAGTAAGTAATTATTCGATGATTTTAACTGTCTTCACACTCCAAAAATCTGCTGTCTCAGTGGTCGAAGAACATCTTTATGTGGCTGCCGATCAAATGAAGGGGATTGACAATCCTTGCTTTGGTTTTAAGTTATTCGACTAACACTGCCAACATTTCCGTGCGTTTAATACGCACTTCTGCTCATTTAGTTTAATCCATTTACTTTTATCAAGTCATTATCATTAAACCATGCTTTTTTGCTATCTGTTTTGGTGATTAATTTATTTGTTAATGACCCTTGTGTCTAGATTCTCTATTTTCGTCTATAAAATGTTTCGTTTTTGTCTTACAACTTAATGTTTATTTATGTATTTATCTCATTAAATGTAATAACAATAATTATAGCTGAGCTACCAAAAGTTTGCAGTGGGCATGGTGATTATGCATCTGGTGCTTGTCGATGTTATCCTGAATGGAAAGGTCAAGAATGTCAGACATTGTGGTCTGAATGTGAAGATCCCACCTGTTCAGGTAATGGTCGTTGTGTTGTTGGTGAATGTCAGTGTTATGAAGGTTATGCAGGCAATTTATGCCAGACACGTGAGTCATGAATCGATTAATAACTGCACTTGTGTTATTATTACTTCCTAATTTATTGTTAACTGATTGGGTGTAATTATGTTTAATGACTTGCTTGTTTTCATTCACCCTGTTTGTGTGTGTTAATTGCTTAGTTAACTGTTTAATTTATTTACAACAACTGCTACCTCCATTAAACAAATGGAACCTAATGATACAATTGTTTTTTTTTAAATTTACAACTAGGAATTTTCTACTCACTGCAATTACTATTTTCACTTGTTCGTCTGTCTGTCTATTGCACGTCCGTGTTCTCCTGTGTACCAAACTATAATTTAATTTTCTTTAGATATACACTCATACTTTTTTTGCTGCTTGCTTACACACACACACAGACGTTCGTTAATAGAAACATGTACTAGTTACAGTTAAAACTAACAATTATGCTAGATAGTATCAATATAAAGTAGCTAAATGACCCTAGTTAAGTGAAATAAAACATTGGTGTAATTAGTTTGAAGATGATTTTCATTGTTAATTGTGAATGTTATAAGTAGCAGTGAATAGTTCATCATATTAGTTTAAATTTATATCTAATTAAACTCAGATTATCTTACTTTCATGATACCCTACATTTGTTAGAATTGGATTTCAATTCCTCATCTTCTTCAAAAACACTAGACCTGGTCGACTTCGAAAACATTGGCTTTTTATTAAAGCATCAAGATGATGATGAGCAGTCGAAAATTGTTTAGCCTAACAAACTTTATGCGTGAAACATAGTGTTTACTTCAACTTTCTGGATCAATGAGCACTTCAGTTTTTATAGTACTCTCCTTTTATCCATCAACTAATCCAAAAGTCAATTCAAATGTGTTTTAACTAGGAGACTAAATACTTACAAGGCATTTCAAAGTAGGAAAAAAATATCATTTCAAAAGAACGACAAACCAATGGATAAGAAACATTTTAGGTTGTAAGTAGGGTCGTAAGTTCAAAACTCATCAAAGTAGATTACAGTTTGGTAAGTAAAACAAACGGTTTATACAGATTAAATTATCATCAAAAGTATATCGTACATAATTTAATGTCAACTATTCTGTTTTAATTGGATGAATTGCCTCGGCACTATTGTCCTTATCACCAGTAAACAAAAAGACTCCATTAGAACGACTGTTCTTTTCAATCGGTATTATATTCGATCTAGTCCCTAACCACCGCCTACTTGAGTTTCCATTGCTTGTTGATATAAGAGTACACCAAAAAATTTCTAGGGGGTGGCCGAACGGTGATATGTCACTAGTCACTAAAGTTATTGGCTGTTAACCGTATTTGTGTTTTTATATTTTTGCACTAACTGGTTGTGGTTAAAGTGACAACCACTATCAGTGTTTAAAGACCTCAGATGTCTCAAAATCGAACACGGTGGCGGAGTTGTATTCATCCTTTTTGCCCTTAGTTCTCAGTTCCCATATTATTTCATACGCTTATTCCCTCATTACATTTTTTTTCGATTGGTATCCTCTATGTTTAGTCTGTTTTAGTACCGTTGATAGTATTATTATTATTTCAACTCGGCTACTTGTTTTGTTAATTTTATCTTACCGTACTGACATGACATCGAGACTTCGGTTGATGCACAATTGGTATAAATCCTACTTCGTTTATTAATGATCGACAATATCTGTTTACGACTCACATATTCAACATAGTCTAATAAATCTAAGAGTTAGTTCAGTAGTTAACTACGACTTTTATCTTTCTAATCAGTTAACCTAATGAAAATTGCTGCATAATTGACAGATGGTGTCTGTAAGCATAAAGATTCTTGTTTAAAACGATCAGTACTGGGTTAGAGCGTGAAATAAACAGAGGTAGATGGACATCGGCTACTGAAGCACAACGAAAGGAAAACAGTGGGTATTACTCACATTTGCAAACAAATCCAACACATGAAAAAATTTTTTTTTGAAGCTATGTTAAACGCTCTTGATTCCTTTTCTGTCTCCTTTGTGAAGTTATTCTTTTTTTATACTTTTAGTCTGAACATCCTGAATTCATTACAGTTTTTTTCGTTCTTGTAGTCGGTTGATAAGACAGTGGCATGATGTGGCTGTGTGATCATTGCTCACAAGCTTTTTTCATTGACTGAAAGTAACCATATAAATAACATTAAAACACTGAACAGTCGGTCATGCAACAAAATAATCATACTTTTTTCACTGACGTGATTGAACATTTTTTTTCTCACAACTTCCACAGAACACCATTTAAAATTCATTCTGACCTTCATTTTTATTTCATTTCATATCGCTTTTATTAAATTCAGGTACGTGTATCTCTTCCAATTGCTCTGGACATGGAGTTTGTATAGATGGAAATTGTCGTTGCTTCAATGGTTGGTCTGGTATTGGTTGTGAACTACCTGTACCTAATCATTTAATAAATTCTGAATTGATTCATCCATCTAATGGACTGTCTACTACTAGTAATATTGCTAGTGGAAATAATCACAACAACAATAAAATATCGAACCGATTAATGATGAAATCAATGTCTTCTCCTTCTTCGTCGTCAGTAATGGCTATGGGCTTATCATCTGCACCAGTTAGATTGCTGTTGGACGCAGCACCAGAACAAGGTAAATGTGTTTTGATTAAGATTTCATAGTTTATTTATTCTTGCTAATAATATCATACTGTATTTTTCTCTTAGTCTTTTCTTGTTCTATCTATTTTGCATTATTGGAGATTATTCCTATTTTATCTTTTCCCTTGATCAAACTATCGACCGAAAAAAATCTATTAGAGTATGGTCATTGCTTATGTAGCTTAAATGAATATTTTACACTTCGCTGAAATCGATTTAGTCAATTATAAACTTTGTATGAATGACTGACTAAAACTTGATAAATCCTTAATTTCTAGGTGGAAAAGTTTTGTAGCTTCAAACGAAAAATACGTGAGTATATTTGTATATGTTTAAGGCATTTAATATTATTGCAGATGACGTAATCAGGTAACCAACATACTCTTTCCCTAGTGTTTGAGCACTCTTGAACCATGTCCTAATCACTCTGAATAGCAAGCTTACAACGAGTATCAGTGAATACTTTCCATGTAGACATGCATTATGTCATATTTGTGCTCGAAATAATGATTATTAAAGAAATAATCACTGATAGCAGATTAGTTCATCGAATATCATCAAAAGTTTTGTACGACCTTTGTTAGGGTTTGCTGACTGATAAAGTTTAAACATTTTTCATAAATATAAATTGAATATAGTGAAATATCTTTCGTCTTATTGATAACTCTCAAGTGCACTGAAACGAGATTCTTAGAGTCAATTGAGAGCTTCTCTTAAATACACTGAGAATCTTAAGTTGTTTACAAAATCATCCTGTTGTTTTTACAAGCAAAATGCCAAAAAATAAAATGATCGAGCCTAAATTTACACTTAATAACTGCTTGAAACCACTATTCATAAAAAGAACTATACAACAATCTTTACATTAGTTGATAGTTTGTTTCCTGTTTTGTTTTTTTCAGAATGCACACTCGACTGTGGCTCTCATGGTGTCTGTGAATACATAAACGACTATGATCAACCTGTATGCCGATGCTTTTCTGGTTGGACTGGTTCCGGATGTAACACAAAACGATGCGATAATCGATGTTTTATAAATGGACATTGTGCTAATGGTATATGCAATTGTAAAGTTGGTTGGAATGGGAAACATTGTACATTAGGTAATTTCCCTATTTATTGATTTCTTATATTGCGGAGTATACGGAAATCTATGTAAATAATATAAGAGAGATAATGATATGCAATACATATATATTTTCTGTGCGTTGTACTGTACTGTACTTTTTTGGAATTGAATTCGTGTACTATCTAACATTACATTTAGTCAATGTACTTTGATATTTCGGTAAACGCCAATGACTGTATGTCTACAGATGGGCATCTGGATCTTACAGCTGTTTATTGTCTATTACATAAACTATTTGTCAACATCCAACCAGTTATGTGCAGCGTATTTATTACCTGGCATAATGTGTATCGGTGTAAGCAGGCATAACCTCTACATCAGATTCTAACTGCATGTCCTGACATGAAGTTACATTCAATTTAGTTGATCGAAAAATTTTGTTGTGATTGTCGTTGAGAAGAATATGTAATTGTATCACCAAGTTACTTAGGGCTTTTTACCTACACATTTCAGCTAGAACTTGCAGCTAATTGTTACCTAAATGAGCAGCTACATAAGGTAATGTTCATGCTCCTAAGTGTAATACCTTATTTAGATTGTTAGAGATTAGTTTGAATTACCCAGATGACGACTGATGATTATTTCAAATAGATTTATCACTTAACAATTCTAAAATATACTTTACGGCTCGTTCGCTATAATATCTCGCATGATAATAGAAAATAAAATCTCCAAGATCGTATACTACTTCATTTCTCTTTGAAATCTTTTCATCCTTAATAGAATATTGCCTACAGATATTCGAGTCAGTGACTTTCAGTTGTTTGATTTTCGAAAGTAACATTTTTACTACATTTCTCATCTTTATTTTTGGATTAGTACTGTTTTTATTTAATAAAAAATCTGCTCTTCTATTACATATCCCCTACCAGATGAACAAAAAAATATTTTTGGGTAAAATCAGGCAACACTCAACAATTAAAACTTTCTTTTGTTATTCATACAGCAACTTTCTTTTCAATATCGTCGTTAGTTTTATTTTTATTCCTTTACTGTCTTGGCTCTTTTATCACATGCGTAAAAATAGCACTGTCTATTGAATGCACTCGAATTGTTACTTATCAGTTAGTTGGTTGATTTTTTTTCCCACCTTAAAACATTGTTGCTGAATTTTTCTGTGCATTTATTTCCTTCATTTGGTTTTCTTTTCTAAAATCTGATATCTCTGCTTTTTCTTCTACGGACAAATGTCCGTACACTTATTCATCGATATGAGATGATCAGTCGATTGGTGAAGAAATCCTCATACTTTACTTCTGCCTAAGGCTTGTGCTGATGATGTTGTCCAGAAGAATAAAGAAAGCTCCACGACTAAACTATCCTATTCAAAGAACAAAACTCCACTACAAGTTGTCTAGCATTTAACCGCTAATAACTCAGAACATTATTCAGTACAAATCGGAAATAAAAGTGTTTTTACGTTCATCTTACTACTACCTTGAAGTTATTTGACTCTATCTTGATAGGGAGTCATGTATGCAGCATAATAAACATTCCTCATTTGTATTAAAGTTAATGCTTATGAGTATTGAAAATGGATTTTTTTTGTTCCACGTTATTTATTTATTCTTTTACTGTAATAAACTTGATATAATAATAAGTCTTTTGTGAAAATCAAGCAAATTGTTCTTGTATCCTTTAATTATTTATTTATTTGTAGATGGTTGCCCAGATCATTGTAATGGACATGGTCAATGCATCAGAAATCCAACGTCCAATGCTTATTATTGTCAATGTTCTTCCGGTTGGTCAGGTAGCGCGTGTCAACGTCAAATTGAAACAATATGTGATGATGAGATAGATAATGATCATGGTAAGTCTAGATCATTAATTAAAATATCCCATCTAAATTTTCAAATATTGTGAGAGAGATATAAGGATTAGCGATATTATTCGACCTCCCGAACGAACCCAAGTAACGAGTACTGTTGTGTTCGAACTCGCGAACTGATAGTTGGAAGCCCAAGTTTCTTGATATTCTATAAATTAATTTCGTAATAAGCCATCTAGTGTACTATTAATATTGTGCTGGGAACATCGCCACGACGATGATAAAGTAATAAGATCGTGAATAGTTTGATGAAACATTCAATCCTCTATACAGCTATAAACAAAACTAATAACCGTAAACTGGACTCTTTTTTTTCCACCAATTTAATACTCACGTAAAAATAAAACATGTTCCTCATAAAATATTCTGTTACCATGTATATCGAAAAATCTATGTTATGGGACCTATTTTTTATATCGTGCAGGGCTTGGAAACATACATCTTACTGTCAATGAAAAATACTATCTAAGCTTATTTAGGAAAATATTAATTGTATTCAGTGGTTTTTTACTTTTCCCATTCAATCTCACAAACTAAACCCCGCACTTCAATCGATTCATAAGCTATAGTTAAGTGCAAATTTTGTTCTTTTGAAAGCTCATTAAATTTGTGTTCAGTATCTGTTATTAGATTTAGAATTTTATAGGTCGTTTATGTGGAAGTGAAAAGAATTTCATTCTTTCATCTAGTTAGTCGTTTTGGTTATTTTTATCATTATCTTCTAATATCTCCGATTAATTGTTCTGTATGATAGAAATAATGTGCGTAGGAAAAAGCCTAAACATATTTTGTGATTGGTAGGTATCTCTTACCTCAATTATTCGTTCAATTCTGTATGGTCAGTGCTAGTTCATTGAGTGAAGATTAATTTCGATTTCAATATTTCATCACAATGTATATCAGATCTCGGTTTGATTTAACTTATAATTCCAATCACTTGTGATTTAAAATTAACTGTGGACAATTTGTTCAATGATTGTTGGCCCTATTCATCAAATGTTCTCTTTCCGATTATTATCCATCTAAAACTATTCAAGTGTAGAGGCAGGGAATTGTGTGCAAATTAACATCGTCCTAAATTGTATTTAATATGAACTATATATAGTCTAGCACATCTTAGATTCAAACATACTGCTTGTCACACTAAAACAGATTGTTCAATTTTGAAAACAGTTAACGTTACTCATTAAATTTAGCCAGATAACTATTGACTAAATCAAGTTGCAATGGACACCTTTATTGTCCTTGTATAGGAGGACGCTTAGAGCAGTCATTACTCAACTTCCATGTTGTCTCAAGTGAAGTTGATCCCTGGTGTAATTTGTTTCATGTTTTACATTGATCAATTTCACCCTAGTTTTTAGCTTAAAAATAGATTCGATTATCTAGTGATCAGAAAAAAAAAACAAGCAAGTTGTTTAGGCAGCCAGACTGAAATTATGTTTTTTTTTCGGTTGATTAAACTAACCGATTAATCTTGTTCACTAATGGAATTTATTTAATATTTACACTAAATAATTCTGTCAGTATTAAATGCCTTTCTGAATGTAGTTCCATAATTCGCTGGTTTGATCTCTTATGCAGTCTAGTTTTTTCTATTGTTATTTAACATTCTCATAGAATGTGTAACAATTAATAATAACTTTTAATTCATACAATCGAAACTGTGCCAGAAAATGTGTATTTCCTTTGAGAGATTAATTATTACTTGCGAAGCATTTTTATGCGGATGCATAATCTTATATTAATGACTATTGTTATATCAATTCAGAGAATACCATTTTATTCATAGGAAAGAAAAAAAGACACTATTCTTTGATTAATTATTCTGTATTTTATTAAAACAAAGAAAAAGCTCTTTCTGGAAGACGCCTCTTGGTCATTCTTTTTTTTTTTTGATTGTGTCCATCATTCGTTGTTTTTTTTTAAATGCAGAATATAGCATTCTAGAAATAGTGTAAATAATGGTAAAGTTACTGTACTAGTTGTTGTTACCATAAGTAGTGTTGCTTTCTAAGTCTCCCACAGAGTGTCTAGGTTGGATTTCCTTAAAGTTGTTGACGTGATTCACAACTTTTCATGTTATATATCCAAATTATTAATATTATTACCTCTGTAAAAGCATGTTAAGATGATTGCCAGCCATTTGGGTATGTAAGTAAACTTTTTTTAGATAATTATTTGAACTAAAATCTGTTTAACTAGTGGCGTAGTATAGAAAACTGTTCTTTGTTAAGTCTTGAACTACTGATAACCATGACTTAAATCGAACCCGCCTTTGCGAGCTTCTAACCGATTGATCTATGTTCCGAGTTTTTCTTCAATTAAATGTTATTGCAAAATGTAGTTTGACATTATTGTTCAATCAATTTTTACAGTTTCATTTGCTTTGGCACCTTGATTAATTTCGTCAGTCTCTTAACAAAAAAAACATTTTTGCCGTATATTTGTTTCTTCCGTTATTATGCTCTTGATAGATTACTGTTATTGCCACCAAACAAATTATTGACGTCCATTTTTACAAAAACTTGCATATTATATGTTACTGCCCAGCTTCGAGAATGTAAATGTCGGAAAAAGATCTCTCCCTTGAACCATACAAAGACACACACACACTTGTTTTAATCATACTAAATATTTATTTCTTTTTCTGTATTTCTTCTACTTTTCTGTCGGTTAGATGGTCTTGTTGACTGTTTAGACCCTGACTGCTGTACATCGACACATTGTGACAGACTTATCAAACTCGGTCCAACCGCCGGTGGTTTAGCTGCTGATAACGCTCAACAAAGTTGTGCACATAGTGAATCGTTTGATTATTATTTATTGATTACGCCTATTGCACCACTGGACAGTGCATTTTATGGTCAGCTAGAATTCCTTCTAAGACGTGAACGTATTGTTGTAGAGAACTTCGATCCAAGGTTAGAACAATGCTGCTGCTTGTTTGTTCGTAGAAAATTATGCTTTTCAACTCTTATTTTTGTATTTTCATCACTTTCATTATTGCTTTTTTTTTAATTGGGTCATATTTTCCCTGTTAACATATTGATCTCAATGAAAACCTGTAAGTTATTTAATATACAACTAGAAAATCTACTGCCTTACTCATCGATTTCATTGAAGGTAATAAAAACTTTTCAAAACTAACTTATTGAAGTGACTGCTTCATATATATAATACATAGCTTACTTTTCAATAAACAATTTGTAATTTAAACATATTTTAAACTAGTGAAATATTTATAAATCCATCTATATATATCTGAACTAATGGTTCAGTCAGTCAGTTAAAACGTAGAACTTTGTACGTACTTAGATCAGCACAGAGATGCAATTGTCAATTCAAATCCCATATTGGTAGAGATAGTAGAAATATTAGCGATACTGGAGAAGATTAGGGTTCGAAGATATTATTCAAGAAGTTTAATTCAGTGAATTAAATTTAGAAAGAGAAGATAGGGTTGATGAGGGATTCAGAGGATTTGAAGAACTAATGGTTACTCATTATTCGACAATTTTACTGTTACTTTCTTCTCATTACTTCAAATCATATTGTCTACTTACATTGTTTAGACGTATTTCTGTTGTTCATGGTGTGGTTCGTCAGTGGGATGGAACTGTATTTTGGGGTTGTCGTGTATCTGATCGGGCTAATATGCAGAATGGATATACACTGACTGATAAGAATGGAAGGTCAGTTGATTTTTCTAAATGTAGATCACTAGTCAAGTTCATGTAATTGACTTCAATGTATACTTTTACTTGATGATGCTTTCGATGTTTTTGAACTTGTTTTCCAGTTGTAGGTGAAAGCCAAGTACTTGATGCACATTATTGAGAAATTTGTTTCAAATAATCCATTTACCTGTATTGACTTTTGTAAGCAGATAAAGAATCAATATGGAAGTCAAAAATTATTTAATATGCTTCTTTATTATTGATAAGTTTATAAGTTTGTTGGCAACCATTACAGGAGGGAAAAGTCTGCACCTTACTGCATTATGTCCAGTGTTGTATATTTAAAAACTCTTAACAATACAAAAATCATTGATATAACAAAAATCGTTAGTTTTAGTTTAAAGTTGTGGATAAACTTTAAAGATCCCTAACATGTGTGAAATTTCCCATTACTAAGTGGTGGTCTAACTCATCACAATATAGTTGTGAGTATTTACAGCGAACAAATGTTTGTCTAACCACAACCAAGTACAAAAAGTTGTCGCTGTTACTTTTTTCATTCAAGCATTTGGTCATATGCTAACCAAACAGTTATCCTTCATTATGGGCCATGGATATGGATTATGAATCCTAGTTTTCATTACTCAAAATTGATAATCGAATCAAAGTTACAGTCAATTTCAACTATTCTATTTAAGTTTGATATCTTGCTATTGCTAATTCTCTTTCGTTTCATCCCCGCTTCTTGTTTATTCAATATGTGTTTCGACATTTCCGTGAATCTTCTTTTGTTCTTTCCAAAAGTAAAGTAGAACGACAGTAGTTCGAGTCAGATTGAATGAAATTCACTTATTTTTACTTGTTTTTTTGTTCAAAACACCTACTGTAGATTTGACTTACCAGTTGATGGGGGAACAATTGTTCAGTTAGAATTTCTACGTTATCCAACTGATCAATTTTCAGCCATACACAATTTGTATGTACCTGTTAATCAAATTGTCAATATGGGTGATTTTTACATGTTTGATGCCAAACAATTATCAAATAATGATATTATTCCCATAATGACAGCAAAAAGTACTATGTCAGGTGATTTTGGCGGTACACTCAGTCCATCACCAATACACGGGGATCTATGGATTATGAACAGTTTGTTGCCTAAGTTCTCAGATAAAAATACAATCGTAGAAAATTTATGTACTAGTGGGCATGTACATGACATAGTTACACTTGGCGGTCCTTATATACAAAGCAATTCGTTAATGGATATTTCAACTGTATGCTTGGATGAACAAAATGTTATATGCTTCAGAAACGGAGCATTGCTATACAGTATTCCAATAAAGGTTTGTTGATCTTCCAATGTATATTTAATAGTCGACTAATCGATAATTTCAGTTTGGCAAGTGAAAAGACTAGGTATCTTTCACTATTCTTCATAAAACGTTTTGTGTAAGGTATACACCGAACATGTCACTATCCACCAGTTAATAATTCTATTTGATGGTAGTCATTCTATTTAGTATACAGTGATTAATTAACCTTCACATCAATTCGGAAATTGCTCTTTCAGTAAATAACTCCTCGTTAGCTTCACAGTTTTGTTGTTTATACGGTTCCAAGGACATTTTCAAAGGTCATCAGTCTGGAATTTTAAAAAAGTAACTTCTTGTAATTGTTTGTTTCTACAGAAGAAAATTAGTTGGCTTACAGCCTAGGTATTTTAAACGAACGCTTTGATCTGAAATGAAAATTGAAGGCTATTGAACTTTTAGAACTCTCAAAGTATCATAAACTAGAAAAAAAGAGCAATCATACAGATTCATTAAATGCCAATATTCAGTGATCAACGAAATTCTCATTGAAGTACTTTTTTAAATTGTTTATATATGACCATATATAGGATACACAGTTACGGCTTATGTATCGTTCCGATCGCACTTTCGGTTACAAACCTGGCATGTCTATTTATCTGTTAGCATCAAATCGCGCCCCACCCTTGAATTTAAAAGAGATTCACCTTGTAATTGATATTGCTGGTCAGCGTCACATGAAAATTCTGGAACCGGAACCCGGTTTACTAAACACCTTTTACTGGAATAAAACAGATGGTTACAATCGCTCTGTTTATGGTTTAGCTGAAGCTAAAGGTAAGTATTATATACATATATATGTGCTAAGCTATTTTTTGTCATTGACAGACCCATGGTATTGCCTTCAAGATTCTTTTGTTGTTATATACTCATTTATAACATTTAAGACCGTCTCAAGAGTATACTTTAACATTCCAACTACTTTTTTTCTAAATAAAGATGGAGGTTTTGAAAAACTATCTATTATCTCGCTTATTACACTACACCGGATTGCACATACCTTTCTAGTTCAACATTATGTACTCTGTTACTGACTCTCATTTCTAAGGAAAGGTTTTTGATGAGAATGCTAATAACTAAATGTTGTTTGGTTTTTCTATCATTGAAAATATATTACAATTGTTCTCAGTGATTGTAAGTATCTCCTATGATCAAGATGCTCTGAATCCCACACAACATCACACTGCTTATCGTCAAATTCCAAATTGTTTCATCTACAATTTTTGCAAATAGTAATATAAGGTATTTATCATGAAAAAATAATATCAGATAGAAGTTTGTGCTGATGATGGTGTTCACAAGAACAATGAAAGATTCACAACCAAAAAATCCAGCACAGAGAACGAAACTCAACCACAATCATCCATCCACCTGAGCTACAAATTTGCTCCACCATCTCAAAATGATGTCTAATTTAACAAATGTTTGCCTTGATAGGGAAATCAGAAATTTATGTTTCCAAAGCAGGAATGACAGTTCAGTCAATTCCACCTAATGAAAATTAATCTTTCCTTTTTTTTTATTCACAATAAATGTCGATGAATCACTTTTTCTTTTTTATCGGCGCCCTGTAACAAATGTGATGCATAAATTCAACTGTCATTTCACAAGTTCAATATCATTCATTTAGATTATCGGTGATGTAGCGTAAAATTTAATTGAATGAAAAAAAGAAATTACAGTATTGAATTTTCTAAAGCTTAAAACATCACATTTTGTGTATTGTTCACTGAGAAGCGAATCTTCTTTCAGTTTATACACTAGTGCTGTTTCTTCATTGCACAAAAGATTTTGCTTTGTAAATATTATAACATGGAATATTTCACGAAAGAAACCTTTATTGTCATGATGATATTACTATGCTGGACTAAGATAAATTAAGCTAATGAATTTGTTAAATAAACTTTTTATGTTATTCAACTCAATGCTGATTGTTTTCAATCACCACTATAATTTTCATGAAATAGGTTTTTTTAATATAACACTTAAAGCTTTTACTGGATACTCAGTCTGAAATTGCACAATATACCGAAATCAGCTTCTGCTTAGCGAGAACGATGAAATTGTTTAGATAATTATGATAGCACCTCAGACTTGCACATTGCAACCGAATTCAAAGCACTTAATCAACACTAAGGATTATATAGATACGACATCGCTTAGTATGTACACCAGTTAACTAGTATTCAATATGTCATTTGAGTAGGTCAGCCACAGTGTGAATAACTCGGGTTTCACTTCTCCAATTGTAAAAGCTGATGACTTGAGTTCGAATCTCACAGGGAGCGTCCGTTCGCTCAATATAACAGATACACCTTACTATTGAATGCCTGCTAGTGAAGTTGTAAGCGCAAGGCATTTTGTCAATAACCGTTGGTCGCCTAATACCCGAATTGAATAATATTTGTCATACAAATATCCTATTGATTTGTCATTTTCAATAATGTCCTTAACCAAACAAAAAATCCATTGAAAAACACTCAACTCAAATTTTATGCATGAAAGCTATTAAGCTCTATTATTTTTAGTCTCTATTACTGTCAATCATTGTTCACCTAAGTGTATTTTGATCGAATCCCCTGAATTGTATGTTTGTATTACCATCGAATTCCCTCTAACCTTTTTTGCAGTATCTGTTGGTTATGTGTACACGACCTGTCCACGTATATTCTGGGAATATCGAGTTGTCCAACTACCGGGTAATGAATTGATCAGTTCAGATTTAGCTAATTGGAATTTGAATATTTTACATACATACTCGGTTGGCCATGGGATTATTTATCGGTAAGTTCACCTATGAACACAATTATATGATGCAGTGATGATATGGTCAGTAAAGTGTACGTGAATAACTACTGAATACTAATACGTATAATCAACAAGGTTAAATGTAATAATCTAAAATAAACTTGGCATTATGTGTTCATTTAATTTGATTACTTATTTATTCCATAAAGAAGCGACTTACACTCAGTCCTTAAATATTAGTGACTCAAGTTTCTATCCTTTCGGATACGAAAAAATATTTTTTTCATCATGCTTAATAACTTGGCTGAATTAAACAAATTGGTTTAATATGCATGAAACCAATCAAGCTTTAGATTTTAACCCACAGGAGCTTATAGTCAACCAATTGAACTATTGCTAATAAATTAGAACTTATTAAAGGCGTACTGAAAGCGAACAAAATTAGACAGCGGATAAATCTGAACATCTGACAATCGTTTCATTGTATAAGCGTCCCTCTTTTACAAAACTATATTTACTGGAATGGATTATTATAATCATAGGTTGCAATCACCGTTCTACCTACATATCTGAACTTTTTAGAATTCTATCTGTAATCAGCCGATGTTCAATGTTTTCCTTACTTTCCGTCGGCACATCAAGATACGATGAGAGGGTATGTGCATATCAATGTTTTTTTATCAGCAAATAGAGAAATGTGACTGAAAGTTCTAATAACACTTAGTAGAGCGATTGCTACTTATGTCCCGAGTTGATAAGTTTATTTTATTCTCAATAGAAAGTGTATTGACTTCGTCGCGAATTTTCACTAGGACTGCGTCAGTGATAAGTTGGTTGAAATAAACAAAACACAGAAACATTTCTTGAAATATTCTCAAGGTTAAAACAATAAGTTTTTTTCCATCATGCCATCAGTGATGCTGGCTACTGGTGCATCGTATATATTGACTTTTTTGATTTACTTATTATGTGCTCAACATAAAGCTGACCACTTTCCCATCGATCATATGCACCGTTCGTTACAAAACTGTCAAATAAAAACCTGTATTACTTGATTGTTGTTTGGCTTAATTTTCTTCAGCGGTGATGGTTCACACCTCTACTTGAAACAAACAGATTGGCATATTAGTTTAGTTATTGGATTAACTGAACAACGTCGACTACCGAACGACTGTAGTCAATGTTCACTTAACGATAAACCAACTCGAAAATTACCCCTACGTAATCCGTACTGTTTGCAAACTGATTCAGTTGGCAATCTTCTAATTGGAGATGGAGGATTTTTACGTATTTTAAATTCAACTAAATCCGCCGAAGACTACAAGTAGGTTGATTTGTAACATGCACTTTTTATTTGATTTACATAAATTAATGATCAAAAACAATATTTTCCTTTGTTTTATGTGTATTACAATGCAGTCATTTTGAAAACTGAATTTCTTTCAAATCTTTCATGGAAGTTACTTATCACTTGAAATATTATTGCCTGGTTGTTTGATAAGCTAGCACTCAGCGAAACATTGATGTTATTCTCCTTCATTATTTCTGGGACTATGTTTAAACTTTATGAGAACAGAAATATCACTTGTAGCGATGGATATTCGATATATTCCTAAACTTCGTACACTTCTCGTTCTGATAACCGTTACTCTGAATTGCAAATACTTGTCACAATTCTTTTTATAGATTCAATGCTGAAAATGCAACTTCATTATTACAAGATACTGTTATCGAATTTACTGCGAGTATCAAAAATAGTCGTACCGTCATCGAATTATTTAAAAAAAAACTAACATTAAGGCTAATAGGTTGAAATTGTGCGTAGGCGGTAAGCTCAACAATAATAGAAGTACAATGGTATAGGTAAATGGTTGCTGTACGAATGAGGGAGGCTCTGTTAAATCAGTTAATATATAGGCTTAACCAAATTAAATGTAAACAAACTCAAATGTATGTGAGGTGCTATGATAGCTCCCCTTGCAAACAAGGATATAAAACAGTGTCCGTGTTTGCGAAAAGAAAATGTTAAATTCCACAGAACAGGAACTATCGAAATTTACGAGATTAGGATTTAAGCTGAAACTATCGTGCAAGTTGTTATTAGTACGTGTAAGCTTGAATCCGTATACGCCCGTGAAGCTAGATAAGATAATATTAGAAGGTCAAAAGAATACGGCAATGTTTTTATAAGGTTATTCACCTTGTCGTTGGAATATGCAAAATATGTGGAATTTAATAATAGATAAGTCGAAATTTTCGATGTCTGCTTACAAAACAAAGAGGGAAAAAATTCTTTTTAGAAGCGGTGAAAGAAACCATTGATTTGAAATCGTTGCGGCCATCTGACTCTTCGACTCTTGTCGTTATTTTACTCTCTAATGGCTGAAACTCGCGTTTCGGTGATTCGGTGGTTTTCGAAGGATTTGTGCTTAATGACTGGTCATCACCTTCAATCAAAGCTGATTTGACTCGATCTATGCTAATGACATCCGTTTTCCCAGCTTTATCTATCGTGATGGTTTTATCATTTCTTCTGATCACTTTAAATGGCTAATCATAGGTCGGTTGTATGGTATTCTGCACATTATCCCTTCTAATAAATACATGGGTATTGTGGCTCATTTGCTTTGGTATGTATACTCCTTGTTGACGTTGTCTTGGAAGCATTGTTCTTACATCGCTTATGTACTCCTTCGGACGTTGGCTATATCAATTGAAACACTTTTGGCTGAAGTGAAAAACTCTCCTGGCAGACAGAATAGTTCCATTAACCAACTTAGTTAGGCAACATTCTGTATCTTGTTTCATTGTTATCAACATGACTAATGGAAGCTTGCTAACCTAATCATTGTTGCTGATAACAGCTGTGAGGGAGGCTTTAAGTTACCGGTGTAGTCTCTATCCACCATTCGCAATCGGATGGTAGGATTTTGTACGAATGAGTTTGGTTCCGAGGAGTTCTGTGCGTTATTGGAAGAGGCGACTTTCGAATTGAACTCTTCTATTGGCTGTAATATTGCCCAGCACTCTATAATAAGAGACTCAATGCTCAACTAGGGTTTTGCTATAGTCTCAGCCGAAGTGTCTTTTATGGGCACCGCTACAAGTCATCGTATGAATCTGTTGATGCAGTTGAAAATATAACCGGAGCTATTTGAGATCGTCAGTGGTATATGCTCGAACCTGCTGTCAGGGTAACGGAAAGGACCTACTGCGGAACTGGTGTGACTATGTACTTTAACTTTTTGGCTTGTGTCCAACTTCCCGATTCATACATACTTGGCCATACAAAACGCCTGCTGATTAGTTTGACTGTGACTTTCATTCCAGGATGCGTTATATTATACATAGCTTCGAAAGCTTTTTGTCTAAGCGGGTTCAGAATAAACGGTCGTGGTCAGCCCGTAGAAACATCACACATTATGCTTAACATGGCGAATCGAGTTTCTTCGAGTACAAAAGAAGTTGTGTTCGTAGATCTTAGTCTGCTTAGCTCAACATACTATCTGTGTAGCGTTTCGTTAATGACCTGTAAAGATTAAGAATTTCAGACTTCGTCTGATCACGAGGTTATTTTATCCTAAAAAACCCCGTTTCATTCCTTTCCTATCCATCAGGAAAACTTTATGTAAGCAATGCGGATAATTTTAAATTATAATTGTCGACTCTTCATTTAGTTTTCTTCGTGCTAATATGTCGTTATGGTTTTGACTGTTACTTCTAGCAGACAAAATTAAACATAAAATGTTTTCATGATGACATCATTCACGCTTATCAGTGGTTTGCATGGCAGTCTATTACAAACCCCACTTTCTTTGTACAAACAAGTTAAATTTTTCTCAGTTTTAATATTTGATATTGATATTGGTATAGATTTCACACTCAAATAGCCTAGTGCTCACATTTATGAACTTGATAATTGATTCTAAAACTTTAAATCCTTAATTAAAATTGACAATAAATTATATACTTCTATTTCTTGCGGTTTCGCTTGTAAAACTGGTAATTACTTGTTTACTAACACAATGGGAAAATCACACAGTTGGGATCGAGTTAGGCCTAGCGACTGTAATATTGACATTTTTATTCAGTTTTCTAAACTCACGTGTTTAGTATAGCTCAAGGATAGGATGTAATCAGAAATAAATTATAGTCTGTATTGTCAAACAATATCTTCAATTTGTATTATTTTATTAACGGAAATGTGTAACAAAATCCTTTGTTTGCACTTCTTTTCCCAGATCTTCCTCACAATCGTCGTCACTTTTCAGATCTGATTCACTAAATACCCCACTTCAAGAACAATTGAAGCGCAATGATCGTAGAATGTGGGAAACAATTATTGATTACAAGCTTGACTTTCTTCAGTCTAATTTTGATGAAGATCAATTGACGGGTTATTTTATTGCTGCTCATCCAAATTATTTCTATCGCACAGACGATTATTCCATGTTGGGGAGTAATGGAAATGTTGGTGGATTAGACTTCTCGACTGGATTATTTCTATCACATACAAGTAGTAAAAGTATATGGTGGCTAAAAACCACTCCGAATTTATTACCACATTTACTTATTGGAGAAAATTGTGTTTCATCCAGCTCTAAATCTAACAGTAATTCTGCATCATTGTCATCAGCAGCATTCAATTCTCAAGAGTTCTGTGTTAAACAGAATTTAAAATCTCCTAAAGGAATTGTCTCGACACAAACGGTGTGTGTGCTTGTTTCTTTCGTTTTACAAATAATTGCTTGACAGCTGCATATTTGTTTCATTAAATAGTTTCTGTTCAATGATTCTCAAAGCTTATGGATTTAGTGGTTAGTAAATTAAATACAATTTACCAGGAAAAACTTAATAATAAGGTTGTGGAGGTAGCTAGATTTCATTGAAATCGTGAATCGATCAATGTTAGACCACCTTTAGAAACCTTGAATTCCGACTTAAATAATACTCATGTAGAAATAAGCATAAAATGTCTGCCTAGAGCATCATATTTTTTTTTTATCAATCATCAGCATCCAATCATAATCTTTCTTCTTGGTAGATGGATAGTGACTGTTATTCGAAAAAAGAGCAATTGACCGTTTCCTAATCTAACTCCATTACTTAATCTATTTATTCATATTAGTTTACGCTGTGATAATATGAATCCTCGTTCATGATCACTCGTTTTACTTACAATTGATTTCTTAAAATCTTTCCTGCTTCAAATTCCAATGGGTATATTCCGTTCATTTAAATCTGTTTAAGCATAATTTCTAAGATTCAGAGCACTATCGATTTCTTTTTTATTTCGAAGGGTCACTTGGTTTTCTACCTGCCAATCGAATGTTTACTCGGACATACACCAATCAAGCCTAATTTTTTCTAATTATTATACGAAAATTAATTTTATTATTACTTGAAAGCATTCCAGTGCAGAATAATTTTATCTGCGAACTCGTAATTGCTAAGCTACTCAAAGATGTTACTGCCTCTTACTGTGTTTGATACCCAACAATATTAATGACTTCATCCTCCAGCCACTATCTCATAGACTCTGGGAAAACCCTAATCGATACGACTAATTATTAATACTATCAGTCTATTACGGTGTCTAAATGTTTACATAAGTTGTATACTACTAGCGAGTAGGCAAAACGTGATCGGAACAATAAATAAGAGAACTGTGTTTCAGATCACAGACTGTTTTAAAGCATTTTCTCTTTGCCAAAAAAGGCCTTATGATACTTGATAACTGAACAAAATAACAGAATAGCGATGCTCAATTTTGTTACAATTATTCATGAACTATATATAATTCAAAAAAAGAAAAAAAATAGTTACACACACGTCATAATAATGTAATACATTTTGTTCAATTTACCTATGTAATATTAGTTTTTATTGTTTGTATGGCTGTTCGTTTGTTAACTACTTGTTTATTCTATTCTCTCCAAATTTAAAATATAGGAATTGTATTTTATTGATTCGCAATCTATTTGGTCATTGTCATTACAACAAACTGGTTCTAATATGATTCCATCTTCTCGGCTCGTAGTTGGTAATGATCCAAACTATTCATCGAATTCAAAGTCACCTGACACATCGAATTCAGGGACCAGTATTCCAAAAACAAATCCATCTTCATCAACACCACCTTGTGATCGTTCGGTGCCAGGAAATCAGATGTTGCTAAATAATCCTGAACACTTAGTTTTTAGTTACTTGGAGCAAGCATTATACTTTTCAGATAACAACCTTGTGAGTTTTTGCGATTCCGAAAAAAACATTTCATTTGAAATAGTGACTTCTTCGAAAAACTCATTCGTGATAATTGTTTCCTTTAACTAACTGTTCGATGCGAAATGACTTAATGAGATACATGTTCAGTAATTTTTTCATCAAGTCTATGACCCTACCAAACAAACGTAGTCTGAATTAATCTGATCGCAATCAGTCAGCTACATTCAACTGATTTTAGCTTAAACACCGACGCTTTCTGTCTTCTAGACTAAATTAATTCGTGTTATACTGAAATGTCTACAGTTTTCACAGTATTGTTAGAAGTTATTGGAACTTTTACTGATCAGACAACAACATAATTGTAGACATCTCGTCCTACAAGTTACATTGGTTTGTAATGTACACATTCTAAATGATCAAACTTCTCTCAATAAAATGAAGCTAAATTGGACTAATGTACTTGCCGGTTACTCTCTTCAATTGGAAGGAAATTTACCCTGATAAGTAAATAGTAGTAGTCGAATTCACTAAAGCCTTCTAAACGAGACGATTATTAGTTTCAGGGATAATTAATACTAAACATTAACTTCGTGCTGATTGTCTTCAATTTCATGTTGATCAGTACTCTTAGTATGCGGATGGATTATGGATTCCCTATGTTTTTCAACATCGTTCTCGCTTATTTATATTAACCTTGATCTAAATTTCCATAGTGATGTAAGTTTTAGGAGACTTCGGTCCTAGTTAATGAATGATAAGGTTGAAATCTTCTGAAATTTCATCACTAAAAACTGTAACATTTTAAAGTTGAAAATATCAAATGTCTATTTTAATGTCACTAAGAACCATAGCTATTTTAGCGTTTACGTTCATCTGAAAATACATAAATTTCATTCGTTAATATAACCAATCAGTTTCAATCTGTAATCAAGTCACCAGATCGATGAACATTAAAATGAACAAGTCTATTTGTGGCAAGGAGCTAGTATTCACCGAACGTGGTTACGAATTATTTTTGCTTCGATTACATGGTAACCATATCAACAAATTACTAACATAACACATCGACAAAAATTTATGATACTGGTTGTGAATGTCATTGTTTGCATTTTGTTTTTTTTAGGTTTATCGTTACCATCTATTTAGTCAAATGGTATCATTAGCAGCTGGACGCCTTAAAGACTGTCCTATTAAGACAGACGATTGGAGTTTTGCTCCACTAGCAACACAAGTTGAATTAGGTAATATTCGCGACCTCAGTGTTTCACCTCAGGGTGATTTGTTTATTGCAGGACCTCAGCATGTATGGATTCGTCGGTCAAACGATAATCGCTTATATCCGGTAGCTGGGATCCACCCTACTCAACACAAACAGTTCAAGGTAGATGATGTGAAAGATTCAAAGAAACGTCATTCTAGCACTGATGAAAATGCGATGATGGTTGATTTAGGATTAGTCAGTGAATTTGCATTTGACAGTATCAGCAGTATAGCTGTCAGTTTATTTGGTGAAGTATTTGTGGCCGATAATTCACATAATAGAGTAAGTCTAAAATAACACTAACAGCTTTATTCTTACTGTGTTAATTTCTGTGATATTTTATTCTCCTTAACTATCTATCAACTTCGAAATTGCTTAAATAGCTAAACACAATGCCATTACTTGAGTCGAAACATTTTATGTGTATAAGCAAGCTGTACTACTGTGATGCACGCAAAATGAATATTTGTCTTTGCTAACAACTTGTATGATTGTGTGAATTTCACAGATTGTGATTTTATTACTATAATTAAGTTTTGAGCTAAGATCAGTGGCGTCCAGACCACTCAACTTGTTCAACAGATTAAGCTAGTTGGTTTTTAACAAGCGTAAGCAGTAAAAAAGTATCACATAAAAAATCTAGATAACAGTTACTGTTTAATCTAAAATCGTTCTATTCACTAGTTGAAGCATGAAGAAGAGCAGAATTCAACTATTCTATATTCCATTTCTTGACTTTGATACCAGTTACTTCTATGATTATCGGTAAGCCAATAGTTCAGTGTTGTCATATCTAGTTATCACATTGAGTGTGACGCATTTAAACCGTACAGCTAGCACCGTTTTCTTGCTGATAAGTTTTAGCTAAGAGAAAACAGAAGCCCAGGGCATTTTATCCATCACGTACAGCTGTCTATCATCGAAGAGAAGTTTACAAGGTTTCTGTTTACTTTGCCTAGTGGCTACATAATACCCCTTTTAGATTTCAACTAACATTGAGAACCTGGCCAACTGTTGCATGAAATATTCTGAAACTTGAATTTTTTAAATTTAATCACTAAATATTTATCTTAACCCGGATCGTAAGTGAATAAAAGTCACTTTGCTACTTAGTGTTAGTTAACAAGCTTTATCTTCATGAATCCTAACTGAAACTCAACCTTCCGATTGCCGAATAGCTTTCAACGTTAGCCCGTTTCTAGATTTATTTCACACACTTCCATTTTTATGTCTGTAGTCTCGTTTTTATTGATATCAGTATTTTTATTGTCCTGCTATAATTGATTTCATCGAGTTGTAACTTCACAATCCAATTCAACCTTTTTTTGTACAAAATAGGTATATCGTATACACTATCGATTGCCAGAAAAGTCTGAAACAGGCAACACATATCGCATACTTTACTCACAAACAGATGAAATCGATTCATTCGGTCCTTATGGCCAATTGATTTCTACTGAGAGTGCTTCCACTCAAATGATATCCCATAGATTGGAATATCGTAATAATGAAATAAGTGGTTGGCTTTCACAAATTCGTGGTGATGATCATAGTATTAAATTAAGTATACATCGTGATACACATGGAAATCTTTTACGCCTTCAAACGCCAACAGGTAAAAAAAAAAAATTTGTTTCTTTTACTTTTATTCCTTGGTTGTATTGCGTTGCATCATTTTTTAAACATGCATCTTGAAATTGGTTAGACAACATGAAGTTGACAAGACTTATTCTTGTCGTAGTTTATACACTGTCATAAATCAGTTATTATGTTTTGTGGCATAACTAAATAGATTAACTTTGACAAGACGTAAAGAGTATGCTAACATAACACAAAGATGAGCCACAATAGTACTAGATCAGTTCCTGTACAAAATTTTGGACAGGTCTGACTTAATCATAAAGCTTAGGTCTCATTGAGTAGGGCTGAATTGAAGTTAACGAACACAACTGTAGGACAGTAAATTAAGTGGGATTTTATGACCAGCTATGAATTTAGCCACAAATGAGCCTGGATTTGTATTTGGGTTTATGGTCAAGAAGAACATGTCCTAACATGCCGAATGGCTTTAATTTACCAGTCCTGTTATAATATATTGTTCCTACTCGAATAACCAAAAAATCATATATATATATATATATATATATATATATATATATATATATATATATACATACGAAAAGCCGTTCAGTAGTGAGGTTTAATTCATTTTACTAAATAAATGTAATTTTTAAAAATTTTCAGGTCGTCTGTACAATGTGACACTAGAACCTGGTTCTGGACAACGTATTAGTTCTCTTGTTGATCCAATTAACGGAGGTCTATGGAGATTTCATTATTCATTCGATGGTCTTTTAACTCACTTAAAAAGTCCACAGGACTCTTGTTATACACAATTTCACTATGCTCCTGAATCAGGTCGTTTGTTACACATTACATATCCGAATGCTAAATCTATTGATGTAACTCGTATTGTCAGGAGTCAGATCCCTGTGAATATGAGATCTCAAACACTGGATGAAGTTTCGAATCAAAATACTACACCTATAAGTTTAAGTGATGCAGCAAACTCTTTCGATCAGTTGTCCTCAGGTATGCTTACAAATTATACTAAAGTGTTCAAGTATATGTGATGACATGCTTTGAATACGAATTCATTAGTTAAATAACTTTGTTCTCATGTTTTTGGTGGTATCCTAAGTTGTTAGTAATTTATTGCAAAAGTCATAGTCACTGATCAAGTTATAAGTAAGTTAATTTGCACTTAGTATATCACTGTTGAGGCTTCTTCGACACTACGGTGTGCCTGAGAAAATAGTTAACATCATATGGAATTCTTATGATGGATTCAACTGCAAAATCGTACACGAAAGACAGCTAACAGACTCTTTCGAGGTGAAGACCAGTGTGAGGCAAGGTTGCTTACTCTCACCCTTTCTCTTACTCCTGGTGATCGACTGGATTATGAAGACGTCGACATCTGGAGGGAAGCACGGTATCAGCTGGACAGCTAGGATGCAGATGGACGATCTGGACTTCGCAGATGACCTGGCTCTTCTATCGCACACGCAACAACAAATGCAAGAGAAGACGACCAATGTAGTAGCAGCGTCTGCAGTAGTAGGTCTCAACATACATAAAGGAAAAAGCGAAATTCTCCAATGCAACACAACATGCATCACTCTTGACGTAGATGCCTTGGAGGACGTTAACACCTTTACATATCTGGGCAGCATCATCGACGAGAAAGGTGGATCGGATGCAGATGTGAGGGCGCGGATCGGCAAAGCAAGAGCTGTATTTCTACAATTGAAAAATATCTGGAACTCCAAACAAATATCAGTCAACACCAAAATCAGGATTTTCAATACAAATGTGAAGACAGTTCTACTGTATGGAGCGGAAACTTGGAGAACTACGAAAGCTATCATCCATAAGATACAAGTGTTTATTCACAGTTGTCTACGCAAAATACTTCGTATTCGTTGGCCATCAGCAACAACGAACTTTGGGAGAGAACAAACCAGATTCCAGTGGAGGAGGAAATGAGGAAGAAGCGGTGGAAGTGGATAGGACACACACTACGAAAAGCACCTAACTGCGTCACGAGACAAGCCGTCACATGGAACCCTCAAGGCAAAAGGAAAAGAGGAAGGCCAAGGAACACATTAGGCCGAGAAATAGAGAGAGATATGAGAGGAATGAACAAACATTGGACAGAACTGAAGAGGGAAGCCCAGAACAGAGTTGGTCGGAGAAAACTGGTTGGTGGCCTATGCTCCATTGGGGGTAACAGGCGTAAGTAAGTAATATCACGATCAGTGTCGCAGGTATTGAAGTTGTATCAGTGGAATAATGAACCATAATAATTGTAGTTAATGTTTATAATACAATCTTCCTTGCACTACATAACGTAATCTCAACTAGTTGAAGCAAATCGAGCCACTAAAACGCTTAATTTGGACTAATCAACGACCTCAATGAGCTATTCTTTTAAATGTATATACTGAAACATGCTACAGTTCTTCTATATATATTCCATAAATTTATGTTTTCTGCCAGAATTCTAATTGAACAATATTTTCACTGCATTATGTCTCAATTATTTAGGTAGTGAATAAGTCTAGAAAGCACGCTTCATTGTGTTAGGACACAAACAACTTTCCAACAGCACTTCCGAACACCTAGTGACAAAATATTGTAAATCGGTAGTCAAGACGACAATGATCACTCTATGATGTCTTGTGATATAACAAATAGAAAAAAATATCCCTAGATCGGTTTTCGGATTGATCTTACAAAAACCTGACTCTTATTATATTGACGACGAAATGTTAACTATATAATATTACCAATCTGATGAGATGTATATTCGCATTCTCGTTTATATTGTTGATTTTAAACAATGATAGTGACAACATTTGTTTGCAACCGTAGCTTATTAATCCAAGCATTTAATTTTAATCAGTTTGTTCAGTTGCATTAGGCTTAATAATCTAATTATTTTGAAGTAACCAATCTGTACTAAGCTTTAAAGTATCTGTAGGTAATTTGGTAATTAATGAAAATGAGCTAGGTCATTTTTTAACGTGTAATTTTTTTTAAATGCGACATAATTCAAAACGAATTAAGAGCTTTTAATAACATTGTGTTATTTCAGTAATCATGGTACAAACTACCGAATCGAATAAACATGAAATGGAAATAGACTATGGAGATCCGAACAATCTTTGGAAAGTTCGCCTAGCACAGACTTATCATATTCAAAAGGATCTATATGAACCGGTACAATTGGTTCGACAAATCACGATTCCTGGAAATAATATCAGGAATGCTATTGAGCATACGTAAGTTAATGTTTACATCATGGTATACAACTTTGTAGTTTGGTAATTTGTTTCCTGTTATTTAAGATGACGATCACCTATTTTAAAGCTTAATACTCCGTTCTTGCAAACATCTCTCTTGTAATGAATCCCAAGGATTCATATGTCCCTGGTAAACAAGATTTAATTTTATGTAGCTTGATTACAATCTGATCTACAGAATTAGACCGGCACTAACGAGCTAGACAAATATGACATCGTCATTACTTAATGATTTATCAATATAAACATATCAGTGTTTCTGGACGTCACTCCCTATCTGCCCAAATAGCTCAATACCAGGGTCTTTGACTGAAGCTGGGTAACACGAGTTCGAATCCGACAAGGGTGACCAGTCCTCTTTAGATTTTAAGTATTTCCTGCTGAAGAATGAACTGTAGCACGATATCTAGCTCCTCGTAAAGAATCAATCAAACCTACTACTAATACAGTTAGGCAGTCACATATAATTACAGACTACTTTGTAGATGCACGATTATCTTCCATCATCTGCAAAACGACTCGCTTGAGAGACAAATATTCATGTCAAATTATGATAATATATTTTCAGTTAATTGTCTAAACCATCCATTTGTAGCTTTTTTATAATTTGCAGACAAGTTAACAGGTAGCAACAGCCTCCTAAAATTTTCTAGACACATCTGAACATAATAATATATGCTAAAGAAAAAATTTTTTTCAATTAGTTACCATCATGAATTTTTGTTTCGTTGCAGCTGTCATGTAAACATTTTAAAAACTTAATTTTTTTTTCGCGTGTAGAGATGTATGGACGTATCATTTGAATGATCAAAACAATCCAAAAATACTTGGTACTGCTGATACTTTAACAGATAATGGGGAATATTCCAATTTCGGTATCAACTTTGACAGAAAACCACAAGTTTATCACTTTTTTAAGAATCATTTTCGACGCAGCATTTCAGAACAAAATTATCAATCTAGTTTAGATTCACGTCTTTCTAAACGTCAAGTGTCCAATCCTTACTATAGAAGATTTACTACTCGGTCTGATTATAACAATAATAACAAGAATTATGATAATCTTGATGAAGAAGTAGACTGGCATTATCAGAAGACCCTGACAGTAAGTGACAAATGTCTGTTAAATCTGTAACTTCTTTCTAGTACTGATAATTTCTGAACCTTTTCTTTTATATGCAAAAAATGATAATCGTATCAGTCGGAGCAACCTGAGAGTTGACCAATATAGAAATCGACGTTGCATAAACAGGCTTCAAAAAAGCATGTCGTACTAACATCTCATTGTATACGGACAGGGAATCAATGTTATGATATTTACTTTGACTGGGTTGATAGTCGAGTGATGTTATGATTCAATGTTCTAAATGATTTCATCTTTTTCATGTAAAACCGAAAGAGCCTAGAAAATCTTTGTTTTTTATAAAGCTCTCTTGTTAATTATATTTATTTTGGAATTAAAACATTCGCTAACCAATCCGTCCAAGTGTGATTTTAGCTTTTGTTTGCATTACTTACTTACTCCACAAAAATCAATCATGACAGATAAAATGACAGTGGCTTCACCATCTAACATGATGGTTATAAATGCGACTACCTGTTGGGCATTGATGTTAACTTTTAGAAAGGATGTCACTCTTTGGTCGTGTTCAATCTAGTTCGAAATCCCGTATAAAAATCAAATATTTAGATTCCAGAAATTAATGTTTCTCAGCTTTCATTTGTCTTATTCATATTTATTTATGCATTTTGTTTTTAGGTAAACGGACAAAATCTACTCAATGTAAAATTTAATTGGGCATTACAATTAGAAACTTATCAACACGCTTCAACTGGACACATTCTTTTACAAATTGTCTATAATGCGAATTTTCAACCGATGATTTTTAATGCCTCTACAAATTACTTACAGTCGGCAGGAACAAATGAAATGTCTTCTCCAACAAAATCAGATCATATGCGACCTGCTACATTGACACTTGCATACACAAAGTAATCTATGGATTATTAGTATTACTTACTGTTTGATTTGGCACATTTTTGGTGTATTCACGACTGGATAGTTGAAGGAGAAACCGACTGCCATTGGAGCCTCAGTCAACATTTATCATACATATTACTGTAACATTTAGTGTTTAAAGTAGAATTAATATCTACTTGGTAATTGCATCCTGTAGCTGATGAAATGCTTGGACACATAACCAGTCATTAGAAAGAGGATGATTCAGTTGTTTTCTTATTGATTGAGTCAGAATCCGTGTATAGATTGAGACAATAGTATCCCATGTCTTATTCCAATTCAGTTCTTCAATAAAATAAACTTTGTGTTCAACTGTTTAACTATGGAAAATTTGTGTGTACTATAAATCAGTTAAAAACTTCAGCTACATAAAAAACGAATGGGTTTCCCAAGTAGAATCATTACTATCTATTGGTTTCTCCCCTATGTCTGTTCTATATTTTGAACTCTGATAAAGAGAATGTCGAGTACTATGTGTTTCTATCATTACTAATAAGATGATCTTTGTACTCATGTTGTGCAATGTTACACAGATATTCATAAATAAGATAACCATTCTCTCATTTTTCTCGATTTTCTAGAACTGGACATTTAAGTTCAGTTGAGTGGGGAAATACAAGTTATCATTTTTCCTATGACGTGTTGAATCGATTGAAAGCGGCCGATTTGGGAAGACCTACAGATCCTTTATCATTTCAATATGGAATCCCAAATATTCCATTCCAGGTAAACTCATTACTTTTGAGTTTGAATTTATATTCTAGCTGAACTAGGCAGCTTTTTTTTTGTCTTTTCCGAGAAGCATTCACAGTAATGAGATATTTCTAGTAAATTATCTCCGACTAACTGAGTATGCAACCTATATATGTAAATGAATATTTGTGTTTATTATTTGTTTAAAAAGAACCCCTCATGTGACAGTTACTAGTTCAACAGTTTGTATGATAGCCGACAGAAAAGCAAAACATAGAACAGTAAGTGCATAGACTAAAGTAGTTACTATATAAGTGTACACAAATTAAATATGTATACAGCAGAGCTGTTGAGTACTCAGTTGTGACCAATCTCGTTTTATGTTATTTGAAGTCTGCAACTAGCAATTTGTAACATCTCGTGAATACAACAACAACATAAACAACATAAACTATATTCTATTGTTTGACTCAGATCAACAGTCAGTGTTTGTATTGACTGGTTTGATAATTATTCGTCTTTTATAACCCACATCTACGTATACATCACGGTAGGCTATATGAGAAACATATGTCTTGGCTACATTCCCTGTCCATAATTCTTTAATCTCACTCACTCACTATGGACAGATGAATCGGCTAACAACCATGATGAAAGTATTAATAAAAGTTAGATGCATTTTATTTCTGTTGGCTTTTCGTAATATCAATGACAACATGATTAATGAGAAAAGAATATATTTTACTTTTGGATAACCTAAGATAATGGTGATCCAAAAAAAAAATTCGTAACCTGAGAATGATCATTGAAATCAATGATTAGATTACTAAGTAATTATTGAATTGCAAAGCAGTATCATTTTGTCGTATGAAGTGTTTGTTTTCCTACTGATTCATTTCTATGAGAATTCAAAAATCACATCCCCTCTAATAAATATGACTCCAAGTAAAATGATACCTTGGTTTACGCAGCGTGAGGAAATGCGATCACTTGTATATTTTTTAGGGATCGAAAGTTAAAATGTTCCCATCGAGATTATACCAGATAATTATACCATAAATATAGTCTTCATTATGATACTTTTTCCCGTCCGAAGTATCAATCAAGCAGTCTAGTGCTGAAGTACATTGTGACTATTTTGTTTTTATTAGCGAAAAAATTACTTTACTGACTGACTGAATGAATATTCACGCAACTGACACTGATCTATGATGCACAGAGCTAACTGGTTGTTGTGCTCATCATATAATATAATATAATTGACATATATAATTAATTGTCTGTTCACTATTTATTTAAAATCAATTATGAAAATGACTTAAATTGTTCTGTTTATTTATTTATTTATTTTATTCAGTAAAAAAATGTGTATATTCTTATCTGTTTGCAACTTACAGCCAACCATGGTTTCTGTTAGTGGAGCAGGTCTCTACACATTACTTTATTCTGACAGATTTATTGATACCAATGAACATCAAGAGCCTACGCCATTATCATCATCATTCTCATTATCAAAATCGGACTATGTCGGTCTCGCTGGAGTTATCACGCCAACTGGTCTTAAACGTCAGTTCACTCGAATCAATGGAATAAAAGTGAACCGTCTGATGTTCACACCATGGCTAGATTCACCTGGTCCTTGGATATATGAATGGGGAAGTGATGTTGGTGATTCCATGAAATTCTCATCAGATCATTCGCACTTGCTTCGTTTCATATGGCCAAGTAATTATAGGCGTATATCAATATTTCCTAAGCAAAATTTCATAATTTACGATAAAACATCAATTCGATGGGATTCTAATGGACTGAAACAACCAATTAGTGTATTAAATGCTCCACTTGTACAGTTAACTGATACTGTATCTGGTTTTCGGCTACAATATCAGCGTGTTTTTCAAGGAAACCTGTTACAATCTTTACATATAAATCACCGACTGCCAGGCATAAAAGCTGCTCATCCGAATCTTGGAGGAATTCTGAATGCAAAGTTCACTTATGGTTATGACTTGAATATGAATGTAAGTTTTTTCTGAATAAATACTACTTATTGTATATCAGATATAATGTCACATGTTATTATGTTTTACTTTATACAAACTTCTACGAGAATCACTATAATTACTAACTACTTTAAAAAAAACTCAGACTGCACAGTTGTCTTCTGTCGCTCATGCACCTAATATCTTGATAACGCTAATAATGTAGAATAACTAGTCACACCACTTTGTTCAGTGGTAGACTTTCAGAAACTAACCATATAAGTATTCCTAATCTTCATGATATAATGTTCTGTAAAATTTAAAAACTGCATATTAAAACTATCCTATGAAATCTATGCTTAGCTGTCATACATAATTCAGCGATGACCTCAAAACAGATGAATTTTTATCTGCTGTTTCCACGTTCATTTTTGTTTTTACCAATAGTATACCTACTATACTTGTGTATGTTCTGTTTTAAAGCATGGTTAGAAAAGCTGACAGCTTTAGACCGTAACGATTACTGAAATATTTTCATGTAAGTTCAGCTTTTTGTGAACCATTTAGAACTGGTGTTTTGAATGACCTCCCTACGAACCATGTTTTTCATTTTGTATCAGTTGTATTTCCGAAAAATTTTATCGATTTCATTTTAGACATTTCAAATGAATCTTTTCATCGATGATCTAAAATCAAGATAAAATCAAGATAATCTATTCATCTTGTGGAACTTTGATTTTCTCCTCATTAATCATCGATGACATACGATAGAAAATTGGATATAACTCTGTGTACATAAAAATGACACTCGTTAAACTTTACCTAATATTCTTTGATTTATCAATTTCTTTACTTTCTAATTTAGCTTGTCAGCATTCATACATCGTTGTTTGTACGAACTGATGAAGACGATTTCGGCAATACAATTAATCCTGATGATAAGACAGTATTGAATGAAGAATCAACAACTCGATTAGATTCATTGACTGGTCGTGTATTAACCATGAATGAATTTACTATCAATCATCAATCCTCTTCATTACGTATAACATATAATTTAAAGAATATACAACTTTATCGTCAATGGGATGATCGTCAACGTATTATACAATGTGTATTGTATGCAGTACGTAGTTCATCTTTTTTCTTCTCCCCTATTTGTGCTTTAAAATACGTCATAAATTTGATTTTATTAAAAAGTAATTACATTTTTCCATTGTTAGAAAAAAAGTCCAATCAGAGTATACACATTCACACAATTACACTTTGCAATGAAATCATGAATGAATCATTTGTTAGACTATCATTAGGAACCTGGAAGCAATGGTAGGCCATTCGGTTCTGGCATGGGACTCATCAGCAGTACGGATCCGCTGGTGGATGTCGGCTCAGTGGTCCGAAGACCACCCAGTGTGTCCAGGTTTCTAATGGTAGTCTAACAAATGATTTATTCATGATTTCAATGTAAAACAACGATCTCCGTAATACTATAATCCAATAGCTTAATGAACTGATTTTTAGTAGACATTAAATGAAACTTAAGACAAGGAATACATTTTTGTTTCGTCATACTGTTTTGAGATTCATGCATTAAAAAAAAGGCATTTCGTTATATCTCTTCATCATAGTTTCGAGTTTTACCATCTTTTCCTTACGACATTCACCTGAATTTATTCGCATATCTAAAGTTAACTTTTGATCCGTGTCAATTAGGTCGATACGTATTCTTACTGTTATTTCTGTGGATTCAGACTTTCTAAGGCATCTAGTATTTTTAAATTTTTGTCTATTCATCAATCGATTTTGGCTCATGAAAACTGTCTTAATCTCATTTCGAAAAACTTCAAACTGACTAATAATCTATCTTTATAAGAGCTCAATTTACAAGCATAAATCTCTGAATCTCTTGATAGAAGTGAGTATACTAAGCACCAACCACGTCTGTATTACTCTATGGCTATGAACCGTAGACTATTAGAATAGAAGATATGCGTAGGATGCAGGTTTTTAAACATAGATTTATCCAAATATTTGCTTACGTTTCGTAGAGCGACTGAGTAAGACAAGTTAAGGTACGGTATACTTTAACAGACAAAGATAGTAAGTTAGGCTGTGAATATACATTGACTGATTGGAACGTGTTGTGTGTGCCCGATCACTGGCCACCTCGATGAGTGATGTTAACTGGTGTGGCAGTAAGTTGAGAGATAGCTGGGTGCAACCAACCAAACTAAGATGTTTCATCCGTCCATGAAGTCGCAGACAGTACCAGCAAACCATCTCTGGTAGTGATACTTGAAACGGCTCAATTATTCTCATCAGTCTTAAAATTTATGTATTCATCCGAAAATCCTTTATTGCTCTAAATGTTCGATTGACGAAAATGTACAGATTATTTCACCCTTAAAGTATTCCGTGCTTGGATCGATCTTTTGTAAATAAGTTACTTAATCTTAATGAATCTAAATGCATACTGCCTGATATTGTAAGTAAATTGTTAAGTTTGATTTTCAGTTGAATGCATTAAGTTAAACCTACTACTCTTAAAACACAACTGAAAATCTATCTTTTTGAATCCTGTTGAGATTTACTTTTATGAAAGCGACAACCTTATCAAGGATATCTCGAGCTGTATAACTATATGTTCTTATTGTACTTATTGTCATTGGTACAAAATATTAAATAGACAAATGCCGACTATTGATTGTACACTTTTTCAGAGATTGATTGCTAACTTTATTACAAGCAGGTTGCTTGTACTTATTTGTTTGGTAAGGGCATAATTTGTTAACGTTTCCGATATTTTTTCTTCTGTTGAGTAGCATAATAACAGACGTGAATTGTTATATAACTTGTCATTATCATATCAACCAAACGCCTTACAAGCATTACAACAACGTGAGGAACGTGAAGGTCAAGTACCACGATGGATCACGTTTATACATGGTCCAGGTGGACGTTTAGAAGCTGTGGATCGTGAGGAAGCTGGCACAAGCTTAAGATCACATAGTCAGTTGATTTACAATGCTGAAGGACGAATAGCACATCTCCGTATAGCTACATCAGATCCTCAGCTACCATTGAATGATCGATCGGAATCTGGATTAACAAGTCGTTCAGAAGAACTACAATTCATTTATGACTCAAGAGGTTTATTAGCGAGACGAGGCAATTGGTACTATATTTTTGATGAAGACGGTTTCCTGATAAAACGTCATTTACACAACCTTTATATTACAGATCAATTTGCTTACAATAGTAAAGGATTGTTGATATGGGCCGAGCGTACAATTGATAAAAGTGTTGATTCATCCTCCATCAATAATTTTGCTTCAACATCATCGTCATCATCACCACTGGATCAATGGGCTTTAGAAGATGATGCAGGTTTAAAGCGGCCTTACTCAGTTCAATTTATTTATGATTCTGAAGATCGATTGATAGTTGTGCGTGATACTTTACTTGTACGAGATTCAGTCCAATATTTCTACGCTGATCCTAAACATCCTACACATGTAACGCATATTTTTAATCACGGACGTTTGAAAACGATCCGACTGTTATATGATCCTATACATGGTCATGTATTCGCTTTAGAACAGTATGATAATGGTGGTTTAAGTACAAATAATGATAAAACAAACTATCTAAATTCTAATAGTATTCCATCTCCAATGAACTCAGTTGATGATAATCAACTTCATCATGATTCTTCTAATTCGGCACAAAAACGTGTATTTTTCATAATTACTAACCATGAAGGTAGTCCAACTGCGGCATTTTCTGAGAATGGAAAAGTAAGTTTAAGTTACTGTCTTTGTATCGGTATTGTTTTCTCACATTAAAGTTAGTACAAAACTGGGAACATTTTCACAAATACAAATAAGGGCTTGGTAGTGATATATTTTTAAACCTAGATTCAACTTTCTATATCTGTTGAACGACACAATCTTAAATGCGAGCATATATATATATATATATATATATATATATTCAATTATTTTCTACTTAAAAATATAAGTTAACACTATCTAATAAATAATATAAATAAGTACCAGTATCTTAAAATTGGTATGTTTTCTGCGTTTGATCACATTACCATACAAGATGATACATTCGTCTCTTAATCATTAGTATAATTCTATAGGTACATCGATTTGTTGTATACTTATCTACGTTAACTCTCCGGTGTATTGTTTATTTTTTGTCTTAACCTCAGAACTGTTTCGTTATCTCACTACTAACTCACAATAACGTATTACAAAAAGAATTATACTGAAATATGCCGACAATAATACCAAAGTACTTATAAGATTCCTTAGGTGACTCTAACTTGTCTAGTAGAAAATATGCAAACCAATCAATAGTAGTAGGTTGTTACTTTTGAATGTATACTAATGTTACTGATTTATAATAAGTTTTCATTATAATTTATTCACAATAATTCGTTTAACTATGTATACTTAAAAAAAATGACGTGAACTATTTTGGCAACTCTACACTTTTTTTCTATTGCTGTGTGTATTAAAAGCGCTCAATAGCTTATAGTACATTAGATGATAGACTAAGCTAAGTCATCATTAAATTAATCAAAGAAATGTATGCATTCATGTTATTCTTTTTTAAATATTTTTTCTACTATTCCTTCAGTTGGCATGGGCTGCTGAATATTCCGCTACAGGAAGTCGACGTTTAACATTATCTAGCCGCAACAATTTCTTCACACGTGCCCTTATTGAAGAAGTTGATTTACCACTGGGTCAGGCCTCGTGTATTACTGATTTCCATACAGGATTTCTTTTCTGTCCACCAATTAATCGTGCATATGATCCTCTGGGTGCAACATTTACCAGTCCGGATTGGCGTGGCCTTGTTTCTACCCGACTTCCGAATGTTAAACGTGATCCATCAGTATTAGATACTCATAAATGGGGTCTGACTGAACAAGAAGCGTTAGGAATTGGCCCAAACGGTCTCTTTGCAGAACTTCGTAAAGCTATGACATCGCCTAGTTGGTGGCTTAGACGGGTTGGTTTCAATGTGGACAATTTTATGAAAACGTTTGATACGTATGAAGGAAATGTAGATGACAGAAAAAATTCACCGAAAAATTCACTGCCTTTATTTCCGAATGATATGGCATCCATACACTCATTTAGTCGCACTCATAACCAAGGTTATAAACAGCTAAATAGCAAGTTTGAACATCTTAGTATGCTGAAGTCTAGTCAGTTGACTCCTGGTGGATTACATGGTAGTGGATTATCAAGCTTTCTTCTTGACTCAACAGATGTTAATGATGAAATATCTTTGGCTCTGATACCTTCAAACACAATGTTTGGACCCGAAGTAAGTTAACAGTAATTTATTATTAGAATTATGTTTATCTAATTAAAAAGGATTCTCTATCACCTAAGACTGAATCGTTAACGTCTAAATATCACTTTAGTTTCTCAAGCTTTTCTATCTCTCAGTATGATACACACATCATATCAGAAACCTTCGCATAGTTTATCACAAAGTTACACAGTAATTCCATGTAAAATCACCATACTGAGTGTTGAAATCGGGAGTATTTTCCATGAATTCAGTTTTCGAAGTGATAGACGACAGAATAACTTACTCTCTGATTGTTTGAATGTTTACTGACTGTTTCTATGCCTTCTTTTTTATTATCTTTAGGTTGGTTTTGTAGTTGACGACGTCAATGGACTCGTTAAAGTGATCTTGATCAATCAATCGCAACCAACTAAAACTCGCTTCCAGTCACCAATCGACGGTTCACTGGGAGCAAAACTAGCCTCTATACTTGTATCAGATACAAACCTTGTAGATTGGTGGAGTTATTCTAAATCATCCTTCTCCTCTTCCTCTCCATCATCATCATCGACAACAACAACACAAACAGCAGTACCACACCTCAGTAGTGCGCTGTTCATTCAATTATTTCTATCAACTAAAAAAGATTTTCATTCTACAGTTAAACAATTAACTGCATTAGGTTTACAATTACCAATGCATGATCATGTTCATGGCTTCAACTTAACAATAATGAATACAAATGAAAAATACAAAGAATTATGGATTACACGATATAATTTACAATGGAGAATAAGATTTTCCAATTCGCAATCTCCATTATCGCCAACAACAGCTTGGTCTGTGCTAGCTAGTTCAACGATTGATGACGCCAAGAAACGTGGTGAGACGTTAGCTTGGTCGAATGAAGTCAAATTAATTCAGCAATTCATTTCTACACCCACATCAAAAATTGACCATCTTAATATGAATCAAAACGATTTTGTCAATGATAAACTGACATCAAAGTATATTTTGGGATTTAATTACCCATGGAATAGGCATGAAATCAATGAACTGGTACAGAATAACACTGTTACAAATTTCCATTGGATCCCAACAATAGATTCTCTACAATTCTCATCTTCTCCCTCATCTCCTGACAGTTCTGCTTTATGCAGATTATATGACCATTCTAGCATGTATCAGATACGACCAAATGTATTGAATAAACACAAAGAAAAGGACTTGAAAAACTAAGCAGACAGTTTATGCTTCACTGTATATTCTAATCAATACTTTTCAAGGTTAGTCTATTAATCACATGTTAGTCTGTTTCGATGTTCTGTTTATCTAAATAGTCAAGTTAGAATTAAAGTGATTTGTTGCACGAATTACTAGCCTAAAAGGCACAACTAAGCGGAACTGAAATTCGAAATTCTATCTCGATTTCCTTTAGAAGATAAAATATCCAGACCACAATATGTGGTCTACTTGACAATGGGAAACAATATTAATAATGCTAGTAGTACCAAAGCCATGCGCAAAAATGAGAAGCAACATCATAACTTGACTACATCGATAACGCTGCTTAGCCAACTCTTAATGGTTTAGTTAGCGAATTATCATTCCGTTTGTTTATGAGATTCGATTTAAGGCTTTCTATTTCTAGTGAAAATCATGTTGCCATTCCTATATTATGGAAATCCAACAGCAAATTCCTTCTTGCCCTAGGCATCTTGCTACTGTTGAACTTCAGTTTAGCGTTTTGAGGAGACTAGACAATCCTCGGCTGCTGGGAATGACGTACACTGCTCCGATATTTCACTCTCCAGTGAAATTCCTGTACATTGTTTACTAATTCTACGGAAATTCTGCAGATACCAACTTGATATGAATTATTTATTTGAAAAATGTATATATTAAATGTACTAGTGATTATAACCTTCATATTGTTTTGTCAAGAACAATTATTCACGAATTATACATGTGTAGTCGGAACTATGTTATCTTCTATTTGTAAAGCTAGCTCATTTCTAAGAACAGGAAAACGATCGAAGTTCTTGCAATGTCAGTTCAGTCAATGAAGATATAAATTAAGATGTAACTAACATAATTTTGGAATAATTGACGGATACTTTAGTCGATCAATAAATATTTTTTTAATCGTTGTCTTAATAACGGTATTTACTATTATTATTGGTAATATTAGTAGTTGTTGTCTCGGAACACTATAGTATAATTGATAAATAGAATATTATGACAAATGATAGGTCTTTCATTATGGTTATTTTTGAATTGGTCCCTGAACAATTAAATTTTTGTTTGATTTAACTGTAAACGGTAATATTACCCTAGGCAGATGAGCGAAACATCAGAGTCTAGATGATACATTATGTAATACAAGTAGAGTTTTAAGTAGCCTAATGAATGCAGTCGCAGAATATTCATGCCATAAATTGGGCAGAAAAAACTCTATATTACTGGAACGAATAAGTAATATGTCAGACTATTCTTAATTGTAGTCCTCTTTTCAAGAATACTAGACCTCAAAAATAAACGAATTAACTCAGTAAACAAAACACTCAAAAACAGAAATTTTTCCTCAAAGAGAGAAAAAGAAGTGGAAAATTACAATAAAATGGTTTATTTAAAGTAGTCATCTACAATCCCAGTCAAAAGCAAAGCTGTCAAAATTATTTCGATGAGTAAGGCAGTTAAATTCAATAGAAAGTCTCCAGACTAATTGACAATTCAGTATGAGCATAGTTTTGGTACTCAAAGTAGTCATTCAAAAGTTCTGTCTTTCTACAATGTTATTATTGAATGAGAGTGATATAAGACGTCTTTTGCCTTTTCCTATCAGGCTGTAAGTTTAAAGCTTCACTGTTGGCCTTACCTTCACACCACAGTCTTCCATTCCAATTAATATGTAGCGCGAGATGTAAGTTCCAATAGTCCTTTTTTCTCAGTCGATTTTATCATAATCATTTTATCTTGTTAAAAACACGTTTCACGTAACTTGTTGATTTGCTATTTAAAAAAGTGGAAACAGAGATTTCATTAGAACGCTTGGTTTCCGCTATGCATTTATTTAGTGATATTTTGTAGAAGAAAGCGGCGAAAGTGTGCCTTCTTACTTCTTTTTGATGCCTTGCCTGAAAGACACAACCATTATTAAATAGTTCCTGTTTTAAGTTTGTTCCGTTTGTGCATGATTAACAAGAATTGTTTTCAACTAAAAAATTGATACTTCCAATTATATACGATCTGCCAAATCGGGAACTTTTTAACTCCGGAAAGTTGTAAGCAGTTGACTGACTATGAGGGACCAGTTCGTAAGATTTCAATTTCTCAAACTAATACCAATATGTTTTGCGACTGTGGTAAGAAGCATGATATTGCCTCTGTACTCCAAGTTGTTCAATATGGATCTCAGTCAATAAATGGGATATTGTTCGGTTGTTGACTCCACTATATGGAGTTTTTGTTTTAATCACTCACTTAGTCAGCTGTCGTCAAAAAAAAAATTCACAAGAACTCTTTCTCTAATCGAACAATCAGTCACAATCTGCACCTTTAATTCGATTACAATTGGTAGACGATATTTTACTGTCATTTTGCATACACATTAACATTTGTTTGTTTTTTATTTCTATTTTTTAGTCAAAGATAAAATGTTGTGGTGGAAACTAACACTGTTAATGCAAAGAAATATCTTGCAATAATTCTCTTGATCATAGTTACAATCTCTCATTTTGTGCGAGCATTTATTATTCCACAACCTATGTTCAACTATTTCATCGTCTTTCATGATTGTTTCTCCTTCTCCAAAAATTAACAATCTACCTATATATATATAATTTTGAAAGAGAATTACAAAGTGACAGTTTACGAAACAAACAAAATGCAACTACTATCCACCCCTGGTATCTTTAGCATCATCGTCTCTACCTGTGAATTTGTTACTTAATCAGTGCAAATATTTTCTTCTTCTTTATATATATTCCTTCTGCGCTGAATGAATGTGTTCGCTGTAACCACAACCCGTACTCATATAGTGTGTATATGCTTTTTTGTTCTGAAAAACCTTTTTTTTGAACAGCAACAATGTTTTTATTCATAGTCATAATAACGATGATGATGTTGTTGTTGCTGTCTCCATGTTCTCCTGGCATTCATTCATAGCCTAAAAAAAATAAAAAGTTGTTTCCAGTGATTTCATTTCATTGAGATCTCTTGTTGTACAACTAGAGAGTTCTCTCTTTTAATAGTTTTAGTAATGCGCTGTGCTCTATGATGAACACGCAATGCAAATTGATATTTTTTTATTGAAACAATTGTCATTATAATTATTGGAAAATTAATTGATTTAATTTTATTGTTATTGTTTTAATGACGGCATTGTATTTTAATTATTCACTGAAGTAGTAGTATATGTTGATATGCTAAATTGTATTCACTTGTTTTGTTTTGTTTGGTTTTTTTTAATAATTACCGACCCTTGGTAAATATCACAGAAAGCAGAAACAGAATATTTTCTCATTGTTAATAATAATAATATTGTGTACAGTGTTTTGTGCTTGGTCACCTTGTAATTTCAAGTTATTTTATTGAGATTACTTTACATTTGAATGAATTTTATGTAAACAAAAAAAAGAAAAATCATCTAGGTTTTCGCTTACGGATTCATACACATTCGAGCACCACAGATGTACACATGCACGATACACTATAGTTGTATATAGAGGCTATGGACAATGTAATAAGGAACTTGTTATGTGGAGTTTTATCATGTTTTCTCGATTTACATTCTGTTGTTCTTGTGCTATCGACTACTACTACTACTACTACTACTACCAGTACTACTCAGTATACATTACACAAAACTACATAAGCAGGTATGTTGTTAAATGACTACTCTCTTCACTCATTCATCTTATTCTTTCTGATTTTTTTATTTTGACAGTCTATGAATCCAGGTTTTCAATTGTATGATTTCGATAGTCGTTATTTGTACTAAGTTTTTTTCTTTTTTCGTTTTTTTTTTGACTTTTTGCTTATGCCTACGTACTTGAATTATTGATTACAAAGAGGATTACTCTATTTTGTCAATATTATTATTATTATTATTATTATTACATTGTCACAAGACAGCAGAATTAAATAGTAATGTAATGTAAAAAGTACTCATCTCATGTGTATATGTTTTTTGTGTAATTAGGTACATACATGTCTTCTCGATTTGTGAATCTATCTGTACGGTCTGGTTATCTTATTTTACTAACCTATAGTATACATGAAATGTGTATTTAGAATAAGTAAGATCTGCTGTTTTCGGCTTTTGCAGTCTTCTACCTCCTGCTTATCTTTTTTTTCTTATCGAATTTACTTTTCTTATTGAACAAACGCTAATTCATCGCATCATATATAATAACATTTTTATCGATGTACACTTTGTTGTAATAAATATAGTCTGCATGCACTACCATTATTATTATTATTATTATACACCTTTTAAAATACTGAATTATGAATGAATTAACAATCATCATTTCATTGTCTTATTGGTTCTTCATATTTCTGCTTCTGTTTATTTTTCATGCTTGTCTTAGGAAACAAACAAAGAAAGAATGGAATTTTAGCTTGTATGTATATCTTGTCTCTCTTATTTTAATGTTGGTTTCTATTCTCTTTGTACTATTTATGCGTATACACTGATTTTCCGATGAATTATTATTACTGCTTATGCATATAAACAAAAAATGTTTTCTCATTCAAATAGATTGCATAATTCGTTTGCCAAATTCTATCCAACGTGGTAGTTATGTTATTGCTAATGGAAAATAATGATAATTTTCTAACAGCAGTTGCACTTGATTACTCATTACTCATTAGTGGTAGGTTCTTTGAAATGATCCTGTACTTGTTTTTACCGTTGAATGATGACTCTCGCCTGGTTGATAGTGTTAGTTCACTTGCAACACTCATCAACAACAACAACAAAAACCCAGCTAATTCTCACTAAACAGAGATATATGAATTAGACAACATTGGTCATTGTTGTTGTTGATTATAAATTAAACAGTCAGACATAGTCGTCAATTTAGAACTTGGCAATTCATAATATCTCACATAGGCATATCTAAAAAATCATCAAAATAAAGTGTTCTATTCTCAGATAATGTACATAACGGCTTACATAAAACTATATATACATACTATCTTTCATTGTTTACAAACACTAAGCATCGTCGCATGTTTTGCTTCAGCTTACGCTTTATCTAATTCATAGTCTTTAATTACAGTCATAATATTTGATTAAGACATTAGTTTTCAGATATGTAACTCAGGCTTAGCGAGTACCCCTCCAATAAACTCAGAATAACTCGTTATTCCAGCAAAAATAAATCTCTTGAATCAGAAGTAGCCTTCTGAAAAGCATATCAAAAATGATATTTAGATTTTACTACCTTTGTGTTACGTGAGCCGATATATTCTCCCATAATCGATCACACGTATTTGTAAGTAAACTAACGCTGTACTGACAACAACTTCTTTTTCATACTAATTACGATTACGAGGAAGTTGTAATATTATTGCGGAAGTTTATTTGTTTAACCTCAGTGCAAAATACTCACATAGTTTATCATAAATAAGCGCTTACGTTTCAACCAGAAGAATTTTGATGTGACTAATAGTATATGGTCAATTAGTTGTACGTCAAATCAACTATATCAATGTCAGACTATGGTATTTTAAGTTGAAGTAGTAGTATCAATTTGCATAGTTGGTTAATCAAAAAAATGGAAAATAGAATGACTTCATATTGCTTTCTTGTTCTTGAGAAACAAGCACACAAAAAATCCAGTTTTTATCACTGGAAAGTTTCCATTACTTACTGAACGATTATAGATCTGGTGATGGTCGTCACTGCCAGACAGTTGATCAGTTCAAGCTAGCAGCTTCTGAACAAATATTTTATTATTCCAACATATTTCATCAATGAAGCTCACTCATCTCCTTTCTTACAGAAATACCCTCTGTTAGATTCCGTAGTGAGTGCTTTACTGGTGTAAATGTGTTTCTAATTGATTAAATGCTAACTGATTGACAACTGAACCATGTAATGTGATCGACGAAACGATAGTCGCCTACAATGTTGGACCTATAAATGTATAGTAATCAATTAATGACCATCTCTAGTATCGATGACAGCCAAAAGACAAAACAAATGAGTTTTGAATTATTAGCTGAACTTATGTGCCAAAACAGGGAAATAAAGTTATATAAATGATGGCCAAACGTTTGACAGCAAATATGGTTAATCAAGGATGGAAAGAAACATCGTTAAACGACTAGCCAATAAGCTCTTAATACTGAGATAAACACTGGGTTTCTGACTGTTGTATTTGTTCACTACTCCAAACACAGACTCCCAAAATGATGCACTATTAACAACACGATTAAGTTAAAAATTAAATTAAATTAACGGTCTCTAAGCTAACCTTTCACTAACTATCAAATAAACGGTATACGCCTATATTTTGATAGGCAACAGAAATGAAAGGTTTACAAGAAAAGAAACATTTAATATCAGTCTATAACCAGTTACCATATCAGTATTACTAGTTCCTATTGTATTGCAATAGATTCTTCACTCATCGAAAACATGAAGGCCTTTAATGAAAGAAATGGCAAATGGTTGAAACAATCTGACAAAGATGTCAAATAGTTCGAGTTATAGTATCGTAGTGATAAATTAGTTCAACTAAATAGTATGCAGGTCATCTAGTTAATTTTCTAAATATAATGGTGTAAAATATTTTACCAAGCTCACTGCTAGATGAACTAATGCTAGGCATCAATGATAAGAAACAACGTACGTGAGAAAATACCACATCTCAGCATAGCATTGCAGCTATTACAAAACAGGTTGAACAGCACATGAAATATCAAATAACCTAGTGGTAAGATCACTAAACAGCTGCATAAACAATAACAAGAGACCAGCTCATACAAGAAGCTGGATAAAACAACCAACTTATGATTTGGACCAAATCAGCGGCAACCTACGTGTGGAATAGACAGATAACCCAACAAGGACAAGACTAACAAATGAAGATAATCCGAAATTCAGGGGAAAGAGTGACTTAATCTACAAGCGTATCAACAATAACCCGAAAAATGTTTGCTTTGATTGCGAAAAAAGAGCAAACAACAGAAATGATCATCAAGTACAAAAAACAAACTCACTACCAGATGACAAGAACGAATGTCCATTAGAAGACTGCACGAAAATAAACAAAACCAGTGGATGGCTCAATCGACATATCAACAGTTCTTGCCATCCTCTACTACCACAAACGCAACAAAACTCAAATGTAACTTCGGTAACAGCCAAGTCACCTACAAATATCAACAGAGAAGCAAATAACGCCCGACACCAACGTTTCTGTATCGGATGTAACAAAAGGCAACATAGCCGAAAAGGAATAGTAGACCACTGCTATGTGATACATAGATGGCCAGATATCACCAGACAAGAAGTATGATCAAGGATACAAAAAGCCTCAAAACCTGCAGAAACAACTATTGCGCCCCTGAAGTTGTACCATACTTAGAAGTTTGTCTCTTACCCAGAAGAGCCAATCGGCTTCACCAACTAGTTTGGCTGGAAGGGAGCGCCAGGTTTTCAAATTATCTTGCTTATATATCGTAAATCAAGTAGATAGGTACTCCTAACTACAACTTTTCTATTAATCCTTGTAAAATTCACCTTTGTATCTTGACGGTATCTCCATAGAATTCAGAAACCTACTGACGCTCTACACTCATTTAAGACGAAATAAATAACTGAATAAAAGAATCAACCAAAGTCATCATAATGAACAAAAACAATTCCCAATTTATTTCATTCACTAAATATGGCCTACTTCACTCCACTGAACGTCTATAACACGTTTAAGCTATCAACAACAAAGGGTGATTGATCAAGTGTTGTAATAATTTCATATCATATTAAAAAAGAGGGTCAGTAAAGTTATTGATCTGCATTAATTTTAAACACGCGGATATAATTTGGATGAATAGCTATTTAAATTCCAGTCTAGATCTTTTCGTGTAAGGAACGGCACTGGTCAAGATATTTAATGACTTATAGTTCTGGTTTTCATTCCTAAGGGAAGTGAATCTGCACTGATGATTCCTGTCAAAGTATCATAAAATGTATTACTGCTGCCACTAACTTTAATGTCATATTCTTTCTATAGAATAATAGTTGGGCTGACTAATCGTCATCTTTTCATATTGGTTTAGATTTTTTGATAAATCTGTCGTCATTTATGACTTGTTAACCAGTAGGTTTCACCTTTTTGATGATTTCCTTCTGGTCAAATAGTCATGTTAAGATCAACTGCAGCCTATTAGCTAAGTTTAGTCGATCAAACACATTCATTCGTATTTGTTGTCCGCAACTCAAGAGCAATAAACAAATTTTTTACCAGAAAACCATTGAAATGACATAGATTTTTTCCTGCAATTGGATCTCAGATGATGTTTAACATTTCCCTGAAATCTATTCTATTTACAGTCATAGCTTAAATTTTTTTACATCTCTATTCGAGTTTAATTATACTACTTTTACATCATTTCGCCTTTTCAAGCTATAATATATGATAAAATGGAAATTATTCTCTTGATTTCATAACATTAACTTATAAAGTATTTGAATTTGATTTGAATTATACTAACTCATGACAATCATTTAATGTAACTTATGCTCACAATGGAACAATCAAAAACCTTTGGTTTATTCACGTGTGATTTTTTATCGATATGAAGAATAAAAAGTATGTTTTAAATAAAGCATGTGATCGTATTTTAGTGACTTCTGACGACGATACATATAAGAAAAAAAAAATCCATGTTTGTTTGAAATTGACAATAAACATTTTCATTATTCAACGTATTTGTTGCAAATGATTTTCTCAACACCAGTGATAGATATTTTTTTAATAACTATGTCTCAAGCAAATTCGCACTTAACCAACCACAAGCGCTGCTTCTACTAATTCTGAATAATTCAACTGAACAACAACTACCAAGATGCATGCAACCTTTTTACTTTTCATGATCACTTGAATGCTATCGATTAAATTAATCTCTACTGGAAATAATAATTATGTGCTAGAAGAAAAGTTGATAAATCTGAATTATTATTGCTCGTAATATAGATGATGTATGGAAGTGAAGAGAAACAATCAAAACTTTTTAAAATTCAGGAAATTATGTAGACACTTACAACAGGTTTATATTTCACTGTCAATAACCTTAAAATGTTACGAGTTCACTGCAAACTAATTTAAAGATCTAAAAGATGGTCAGAGTTGCTGAACGAGCTATCTAATCTGAGAATAAATGACGCGAATAGCTTATTTATCCAGTAAAAAGCAAACGGAAATCGGTGGTTTTACAAGTGGCAAGACTTTAGCTGAAATTTCTCTAAACCTTTGACCAAAATAACCCAAGATTATTTAGCAGACGTCGATAACACTGAGCATATCTAGTTTACTCAATAGTTTAGTTCAATAATATCACCACTGATTTATATTGTATGTTTATGTGATATATATATATATTACGATTTACAAAATCATATCGAAAAACTAAACCAAGTCCACCTACCAATTACTACGATTTGTAGATCGATAAGCTTAACTTTACATATCTCCCTCCAGTTCACCTAAATTATAAAATTTGTTATACATTTGACTCTGTTTATACTAACTTCACATGAAATCAATACATTATTGGCAAACTC